TGACCAGGTGGGAACCTAGGGTCTGTGGGTGATGGAGAAGATGGCTGACTAGGAGGTGGAGAAGATGGTCTATCAGGCGCCGAAGATGAGGCTGGAGGCATGCTTTGGGAACTAGGTTGCGTCGAAGAAGCAGAGGTCGATAGTGTACTATTACTGGTAGTACTTGTAGTGGGAATAGGGCTTTTAGGCATACTACTACTGGGTTCGCTGCTTGTGCTTGTAGGGTATATGCAGGTCTTACTGCCATTGGTAGGGTTTGTAACTGTTGTTCCACCCATTCCACTGCAAACTGTATCAGAAGTTGATGATGAAGAGCTTGAAGGTGTGGACGATGGTAACTGAGTCGAACCTGGGTTACTTGTTGGCTGAGGGGAACCTGTACCTCCACTTGAAGAGCTTGGTGACTGAGAGGATCCTGAAGTGGTACTTGGCATACTTGTGGATGGACTTGATGGAGAGTTAGAAGTTGGAGTACTGCTTGGTATGCTTGAGCTTGGGGAGCCAGAGGAGCTTTGGGAGGAAGGCGGCTGTGAACTAGGAGCAGTTGAAGATGATGGCATAGGAGTCGAAGAACGAGATGGATCAGTTGTTGGTGCCCGACTACTTGGTAAGCTAGATGTTCTAGAAGGTAAGCTTGAAGAAGACGAAAGTGTTGATGACGGTTGATTTGTATTGGGTGAGCTCGAAGGACTATCTGATGACTTCATAGTAGTCGAAGAAGTGCTCGATGATGGTCCACTGGAGCTACTGTGAGATGGAGTGGACTGACCTCTACTTGAAGAGCTAGTGGCTGAAGTTGATGATGGCCTAGTAGATGGTACTGAATTACTTGATGATGATGCCTGGGTGCTAGATGAGGTTTTTGGAGCGCCAGAAGTTGTTGACGTAGTAGACATGGTAGGTGTCATAGATGTAGTTTGTGATGGTGGCCAGGTTTCAGAAGGTTGACTTCGGGTAGAAGAATTAGAGGATGATTGAGACGAGCTTGTTCCGCTAGAGTTTCGACTATTGCTGCTACTACTACTAGGTGTTGGATGCCTACTTGATGAAGGCTTGGTAGGCTCTGGAACTGATGTAGTTTTTGGAGGCTGCGATGTATTTGTGGTTGGAGACGTCTTTGCTGGAGTCGTCCTTTGCGTCGAGGTAGTGGTTGATGTTTTAGTGACTGTGATTTTAGTGCGAGAACGGGAGGTGGTCCGTGGCGGGCTACTGGGGCTTTCTTTACCAGGAGATGTAGTTGGCTTCACTGTCACTGGTACTTTCACCGTATCTGTTGTACGTAGCGTTGTTGTAATAGGACGCTGTGGTTTTGTAATAGTAACTTTTTCGATTTGTCGAAGAGTAGTGGTCCTGGTATGATTGATGACTGTAGTAATTTGCCTTGTTCTGGTTGTAGTTCGCGTTATAGCCGAGTCATGACAAAACTCGGGGACTTCTTCTTTACAATCCCATCCAGAGCCTTTATGCCACCAGCTGCCATGTTTGTGATACCAATGATGTTTATTTTTTGAGCCATTGTCACCATATGACCAATGTTTGCATTCTTCGTTATGGCCATGGTTGCCATGACCACCTTTCTGTTTATCATCATCGTCATCTTCATCGTCGTCGTCTTCATTGTCTTCATCATCACAATCTTCATCATCGTCTTGATCGTCATCATAATCATCATCATCACCGTCGTCGTCCTCACTTTCACAATCATAATCAATATCGTCACATGATTTGCTTTTCATACATTCTGTAATAGGTTAGCATATGACTTTACGTTTGTCAATGTTTATTTGTATGTACCTGGCAGATCTAATAGTGTTTTTGATTTTTGATTTCCAAGACTAGCAGCATGAATATCAGCTGTCTGTATGTAGTCTGTATGTTGATTATCGAAAACAATAGAAATAACGCGTAGATTATTTCTACAGTCTTCTCGAAGGTGATACATCTTTTCTGAGACAAAAGGCAAGATAGGAACAGTAGCTGTTGATTCCACAATTGCCTTGATGTGACTTTGTGGACCTCGCTTAACATTATAAATTTTAGTGATAGTCTCAGTGGCATGACCACAGGAATCTCCTTTAGCGCCCAACAGCATATAGACACATAGTGCAAAGACGATGGGTATCTTTTGATGCATTTTATGTGATAATGTCGAAAAAAGAGAGAGCAAGTATCGGAAATATAAGAGCAGTTGTCGATTAAATATCTTTTTTTTTTTGAATGAAGCGTAGTAGAAGTAACAACAAGGAAAGGCCTTTCTTTTTCCCTTTTTTAAGAGGCCAGATGCAAAACAAGATGAGAGACATTTTTAACTAGCATTTTCTTTTCTTTCGATAACTCCCCTTTCGTTAAATGCTACGATTGTTTAAGCACAGATAGACTACTTATTCTTACTTATTAGGTATACTTTTAGACTCCAACTACATATACCATCCTACATTAACCCCTGCCCCTTTTCCTAAGGGGAATTATAGATATTATGGCTATATCAGTACCTCATTACCTAAATAAGTTATGTTGAAAACTTAAATAGAGAAGAATGACAATAGGGCCATCCTTAGAAAACAGAAATGCCTCGATTGAGGCGCTAATTTTTAAATAAACGAACCAATACAGTGAAGCATAAATGAAAGGAAACATTCTCCATTGTTAAGAGATCTGCAGTTTAATTTTAATGTCTCTGGTTATGATACTGATGTTATCTACATTTTAGTGATCGAGAAAGAGAGACACTGAATAAAAAGAAGGCACTGCTAAACACTATATGGATATATATGGTGCTGCGAGTGTCTCGTTAAGATTAGAAGGGGGTTTTTGCACTAAAAAAAAGCTTATCCACTTTACCTAAATAAAGTCTTGTATCATTAATGATTCAATATTTCTTCAATTTACATACGATAGATAGCGTCATTCTGTATGCTGATGTTTGAATTCATCATCTTTTTGTTTTAAAAAAAAAAATACTCTAGGACCAATTTTGAAACAAGCTTGACTCAAATATGCCCTGCGCTACTCTTTACTATTCTGACTAAATCCGTGTGTATGCTTCGGCTGCTCAACTTATTTTGTATAGTGTTGTTTACTAAAAAGTGCATGCATTTATACATTTATTAAGTCATAATGGAGGATATTACATTGTAACTTTTTCTTGAATTAGGAATACCTTTTGCTTGTGAGTAACCTTCTGACTTATATTTGGGGCTATGTAATGGTATGTAGCATTCGTCCTGATTGGATAATGGCGGTAGTGCTGTGTACAGCTTGTTTGTGCTTGATTTTAGTTTACTTGGTATACAGAACACATGCATTGTTTGTCCACAGTCTGTAAATGGAATAAATATCAGTCAGTCTATTGCTGCAAACTATTCTTACTTTTATTACCTTGGCAATGTTTAGCTCTTAAACTTTTTCCAATCATTGAAAAACATATGCTGCACATTTGTGCTTTTGAAGGGTATTGTTCACAGATGCGCTCATGTAAGCAAGATAAGTTATTGACACTACTACTCTTTTTGAGTGAACGCTGCTGATCCTGCTTGAAGAAGGACTCCACCCACTTGTATCGCATGAGGTCATATGCGCTCGGTCTATCTTTGGGGTCTTTTCTAAAACAGCTTGTTAAAAACTCTCTTGCTTCCTATCAAACAGGGACAAACCGATTAGCAAATGAAATCATATAAAGTCCATCTATTTACTTCTGACAAGTTTAAATTTTTTGGAATAGGTGGTTCATCGTCTTCTACAATCTTATACATGGCAGCAAATGAATGCATACCAGCATAAGGTGGTTTTCCTGTTAGCATTTCAACAATCGTACAGCCTAGCGACCAAATATCAGATTTGGTAGATGCTCCGGCGAGTTTGATCACTTCAGGTGCCATCCAGTTAGGCGTACCCGCTGGTTCTCCAGTCGTTTCATCATCTTTCATTTTCAGGCTGAGTGAAACTCCAAAATCTGTTAGTTTGAGTCCACCGGTCTTGGTAGTAAGTATATTCGCCGCCTTAAGGTCGCAGTGAATAACCTATTTCTCGTCAGTTGTTTTGCTTTATTGTGCTTGGGGTTGAAAACTTGCCTGTTGAGAATGAAGGTAGTGAAGACCAGATAAGATTTTATAGGTATATGAAGCAGCTAGCTTCTCTGGAAACTTTCCAAAAGCTTTGATGTTGTTTAATAAGGAACCCATTTCTACATATCTTGTAGTAAATCAGAAAAAGTGCATACATTGTATTGCTGACAATGACTTACTCTAGAATAATGTTGATATATACTTTATCTTTTGAGAATCCCTTATATCGCACGATATATTCATGGTTTAGATGCTTGAGAACACCTACTTCATTCTATGTGTTCCGATTAGTGTAACCGGATTAGAAACATGCAAGGCTTACCATGTCATCACAATCCATTTGATTTCTTTTTATTCGCTTAATAGCTACATATTCACCCGTGTCCATGTTTAGACCACCAAATACTTCACCAAACTGTCCTTTACCAATACTTTTTCCTAGAGCCTACGTACAAGAAAGAAATGAATAAAAAAAAAGATTGCACAGATGTACGCAAACATACATAAACAGATTGTGTACCATCTTCGTTTTGAACAGCAATGGCACAGGCCCCCATCTTTTTTAACGACGTCTTTCGATTGTTTGAGTTGGTTTGGTCTGACGTCGGCGTGGATTTTGATGGTGTGGCTACTGGAATAGGAGGAATCGGTAATAGTTTAGGTTCTTCTCTTTTAGTCAATGCTTCTGAAGAGTTCCTTCGTGTGTGAGGTGGCGAAGGAAGAGAACTCTCTGTAATAGTTTGGCAGGATAAAGACTTAACTTGTGATCTGACGTAGCCTTCCTTACTTTTACATATATCTTTCGAAGGTTTTGTCAGGTCAAAGCTAGATGATCTTTTTTTGACTTCTGTTTTTAAAAATAACATATTGTTGCTCTTTTTTTTGGCTCTGATTGTGTTGGGTATCAATTTTCTATCACGCATAATTCTTTGGATTGCTAATAAACAAGTAATGACCTACACATGTGTGAGAATAATGAGTGTATTTTTTTTGGGTGTTATTTCAACCTACGCTTTGCATTCGCTTTCCTTCCAGTAAGTCGACTGTTTGAAACAGGTCGGATGGGGGTATATGAAGCTATTGAGAGTATGAGCATATATTAAAACTATCAGGATACCTTTTTACCCTCTCTGCTTCTCGAAGAAACTGGCCAATGTTATCTTGCTAGACGCATGAATGGTTAGTTGTGTTGAAACATAAGGGTACATCAACCTACGTAGGCAAATTTTGTCTTGCCTTCATTTTTTACTATAAATCCATCAGGCGAAAACACTCGAATCAAGCTAATGTTTATATATATATATATATATATATATGTGTGTGTGTGTATATGTGTTTAATGGAAAGCAATAGTTGAATGAAATCATATACGTACTCACAAAGTATGATGCCATCTTTTAGGATGTCCTGAAGTGAGCCTTCTGGTAACTGTATACGGAGTGTATCTGATATAAACTGTTTAACTTCTTCTTCATCGTTGTTTCGCTGAGCATTCATATTTAATAATAATAAAAGAAAGGTCAAAGAACGCCAAAGAAAAGCAAACGATGATATTATATAGTATGAATAGATCTTAGCTTTGTGTAACAAGCTCTTCAAAAAGCAACCGTAAACAGATTACCGTAAATGGCATTTTGTCTCTGTCAAGGGAAAGGGGGGCTTTGCTATGACTCCTAAGCTGTCATTTCTACCCTTGAATATCAAAAAGTTTAAAAGGTATAGCGACTGTATGAAAAAAGGTTTATTGTTGTAGCTATGAAGCTCAAAAGAAGGGACATGAAACTGTTTACACAGTTTTATATTTTAACTTTCCGCTCTTCCCTTTCTCTCTCTCTGTCTCTGTTTCTATCTGCCTCTCTTATTTTAGTACTACTACACACACCTTTTTTCTCGCACACTCTTTCTTTCTTTACCCATTATGAAGTACGTTTTTGTCTCGGTCCCTGCTTTAGGAGATAAGCAGAATACCTTTTTAAATATCAAGGGTAAACTAGCAGAATATGCTCAAACCTACCATTATACCATCCCCGAATTCAAGGTATATTACCCTTTATATATATATCACATTAAAGCTAATTCTTTTACAAGATTGGTACTTTGGATGCACTCGTAGTTTTATCGGATGACCTCGTTAAATATGACGCAGCATTTGAGCAATCTGTAAACAAGTTGACGGATATATTAAACACTTTGATAAAGGGTCAACAACAACCTCTTCAAGGGTTCTTGTTGGTGAATGACAGTATGAAACGCTAAAGGGCGCGTTTGTATTACCGAGACTAAAAGCAATGTATATAGAACCTTTGGATCAGTTCATTGCTACTTTTCAATGGAACACAATGAAGTATCGTACAGATAAATCTTTGCAGGAAACAACAGCTACTTTAAACCAGGTTAGAGAGAGCATGGAGACTAGTATCATTTTATATTAACAAGACTATAGGAAGTTACTGCGATTGATAATATCATGAAGAACAAGTTGAATACATATACTCAGACGAAGAACGCACTTCAAACATTACAGCGTAAAGAGACGTAAGTAAAGTAGACAAAAAAGATGACACGGAAAAGATTATTAACATAGACTCAAGTGGCAACTTGTCGGTTCGTAACTTGAACGGTATTGTAAAAAAGCAGCACTGTGTATTGAACTCTGAATTCTTGACTACCTTGATCGTTGCTGTTCCCAAGTCACTCTATAAGCAGTGGAACAACAAGTATGAAACCTTGACAGACATGGTTGTTCCTCGTTCTTCCATGTAAGTCAAATATATATCAAAAAAAAAAAGAAGAAAACAAAGCTCACTCTTTACATAGTAAAATAACAGAGGATGATGAGTTTGGCTTATTCACTGTCACCGTCTTTCAGCGTGTCGCTGACGAATTCTGTCACAAGGCAAGAGAGGAGCGTTTCATTCCTCGTGACTTCAAATACAATGAAGATGCTTTACAGACTCAACAAAGAGAGTTGGAGGAAACCATCCAAACTGAACGTGAGCAGCATGCTGAATTACTGCGTTTGGCCAAGACAAACTTTGGTGAAGTCTTTGCTTCTTGGTTACACCTGAAGGCATTGCGTGTCTTTGTCGAATCTGTCCTTCGTTATGGTTTGCCTCCTGATTTCTGCTCAGTCACCATTTGTGTAAGTGCTTTTATGATTGACCACGTCGCATCTAATCCCCCTTTTTTGTGTGTAGCCCAAGCCCAAATTTGAGAAAAAGGTAGACGATGTTATGGTTGCTCAGTATGGTCGTTTAGGTGGTGTCCATGGACAAGCCATCAAACAGGAACAACAAGAAGAAATACTGGACCACGACTTACAATCTGTCAATGATAACAACTATCGACCTTATGTTCAATTTGAACTTGAATTTGATACAGAACGCAAATAATCTTTGCTTATTATTTTTTTTATTGTTTAAAAAAGAAAGAAAATAAAACAAAAATATTACTCTTTTAATATTGAGATGCCATCTGTTGGCATTGTTTAAGTGCGTCTAAATACCATTTACAAGCAGACATATCATTATTTGTTGCATCAAGACATTGAGTAAATGCCTTTGCATCGGCTTCACATGAATTCTTTACATTCTCTGATGATGCTTGGTATGCTTCTTGTTGTTGTACTTCTTCTGGTTGATGACCACCACCAAACATGGATGAAATACCATTAGCCATTGTATGTCCAACAGCAGAACCAACAGCTACGCCTGCCGCAGTAGATGCCACTAGAAAATTATAAGTACTTTATCATTTTTCTCTTAATTATTTACTTACTTTGACCAAATAATCCTGGTTGACGATGCTGCGCTGCTTCAGAAGGCTGTCTTTGTTGTTGTTGTTGTTGTTGTTGAACTGGTGCATGTTGCTGTGGAGGAGGAGCATGGGTATGTGCACTTCTAGTTTGTTGATGAGATGGTCCTGAAGGACGAGCAGGTCTGGCAGCAGGACGGGAAGATCTAGATGAACGAGGCATAATAAGAGAAAAAAAAAGTACTGGTTGTTTCTCACTAGCACGCATGAATTTATATACTATTTTAAACCTCGAATCTGATTGGTCCACTTTTTAAATGCGGGCTAGTACGGAAAACGTATGCGTCAAAAGTAATATGGAACCCTTTCTTTTTTATTCTAGTACATTCGTTCAAATGAACCACACTGACGCTAATTTGTCAAAGCTTGATTTAAAAGGAAAGGCTTCCGAGAATGAATATGCTCGAAAGAAGGTACACGTGTATATGTGTGTGATATCCAAGTTAACAATAGTTTAAGGAACTTGAACAACTCAAGGCGCTGAAAGCATCATTAGAAAAGAAGCAACAAGAGAAAGAACGTCAATGATTAGGAAAATAATATACTTTAATAAAAAATGGAATTAAGCAATAACTGTAGTATTAGTATCATTAGTGTAAGTTCTAGGTCTGAAGCTCATGATGCAACCATCTTGAGGATAAATAGTAGCAAAAATAGATATATCATCACTCTTCTCTGTGCGTGTGTGAGTCCATTCCATTTTAAGAGTTGCTTGAGCAATGACAGCCATCAAGTGCATCATGGCGTATTCTCTTCCCAAACAGTGGTGAGGACCGTTGCCAAACACCATGAAATTCTTGGGATGCTTTTCCGCAGTTCCTTGTGGGCCCCAACGATCGGGATCGAAAGCGTCAGGATTAGGATAAACAGCGGGATCATGAAGGGCAGGGTAGGTAGTAGGGATAACCATGGCTGTATATAAATAAAAGTTGTTGTTAGCTCGCTTCTTTATGTTATCTTTAACAACTTACATTTCTTGGGAATGGTGTAGTTAGGAGTAATGGGCCAATCACGGACGGTTTGATAAGGAACCATCAAGACAGGAGGACGAAGACGAAGGATTTCTTTGACAACCTGACGCAAATAGGTTGATTCTTCCATCAATTCCAACGTTAATTCTTGATCAACATTTCCATTTCTCAACTTCATTTGTTCTTGATAGACCTTTTCCAAAACATCAGGATGATCAGCTAACAATTGGAAGGCCCAGGTGAGAGCAGAGGAAGTAGCATCTTGAGAGGCAAAGAGGAAAGTCAAGATGGTCAAGGCAACTTCACGGTCATCAAACTTTCTTGGTGCAGGCTTTCCAGCCTTTTCGCATTCTACTTCGTACTCGGCCATGGAGTTGATCCATGCGTCCATCATGGATTTGACAGGCTCACCCTTGGCCATACGGACACGACTGTCCTTGATGCATTCGATGAATTGTTGGACAATGAACTTGCGAGACTGAATGGCCTTATACACCTTGGTGCCTGGCAAAGGAATGGGGAAATTGACAAGCTCTAAAGCAGCTGTGATATTAAAGTATTCTTCAGAGATACGAGTGGCTATCTCATCAGACATGTAATCGCCCAAAAAGACACGGAGAGAGGCTTCCATGTTGATTTCACGGAAGCGTAGTTGGTACTGTTCAGATTTACCGTTCAGCGAAAGCCACTCGGTAAAATGCTTTTGATAGACTTTTTCCTGAATGGGAATATAGATACTGAAAATAGAAAATGAGCAGCATTCTCCTTTACTGTTTTTAGTAAGAACTTACCCAAGCGCCTTGCGTGTAAAGAGAACGTTGAGGCCCTTTCTATAGTCAACGTGTGCTTTTCCACTCAAGAATACCCAATTGTCAGCACATAAGATATGCTTCATTGAATCCACAACAGCAGGCTCCGCATAGGCGGGCGCGTTCAGGATCTTTCGACTGAGTTCACAAGTTGAAGCGATAACAACGAACCTGCGGAATTATATAATCAGTTACCATGGTACCCAGGGGAAAGTTTTTTTTTTAAAGTTACCTATCAAATACACTCACACAAGATAGTTCGCCACTCTTCCACTTGCTCATATAGCCTTCAAAGGTAGGATAGAGAGAGTCCAAGAAGGCGCCGATGATAGGGATTTTAAAGGAAGGACCAGGTAAAGATTTTTTCTTTCTCAGGTAGACATATTGTTCGTAAGCAAATAAACCAACGATAGCAGAGCAAACAATGGCAGTTGTAGAAGGTGGTGAATGAAGGGCTTGTGTGACGAACGAATTGATTGCGTTTTTAGCAGATTCGATTGAACGAGGATTAAATAGGCTATGTTTCCCAGTTAATAAATGAAAAGATATGCCATCGTCTGTTCGTTTACCTTGTTGAAGACATTTGATTATGTAAATAAATAAATAGTATATCAAATCAGATTATATCTCTTTTTTTTTTCTGATTTTCTCTCGTCTCTCTGTCTTTGTCTCTGCTCGATGTTTGGAAAAGAGAAAAAAGAAATAAAAAAGGGGCGCTTTTATTTTTTTTAAAGGGGAAAAAAAAAGAATCCACAAAATTTTGGGTACACAAGAATGAAAAAGATTTGAGTTGATTATAAATTACATTTTTTTTTTTTAATCCTTCACTTTCTGTTTCTCCCCCTTGTCGAATCTATTTGTTCCTTATACCCTTGTTTATATACTAAACAAACAAGGCTTTAAAGAGCCTTTTTCATGTTTATTTTAATAGATACTTCATGTCTGCAAGCTTCTCCGATGGATATACTATTCTTTATTTTTCCGTCCAATGAATTACCGGGCAAACTATTATGACGGATCTGCAACTCAAATCATTTGTGAAAACAATAAACAAAGAAAAAAAAAATTTATAGCGTAAATTTAACAAATCAATTGCTTTTATTATCAGTGTTGAACTTTTTTTTTGTACAAAATAAATATTTATAAACATGGCGTATAATATTAAGGGGATATACTCTAGTGTTGAACTATTTACAATTTTCTTAAGCGTATTCAGCACGAAGTTGCTTGGCGACTTCAACCATGTTGGTCAAGGCAGCTTCAGTTTCAGGCCATCCACGAGTCTTGAGACCACAATCAGGATTGACCCAGACACGTTCTTTGGGAAGGTATTGGATGACACCGACGATCTTTGCCTTCATTTCTTCAACACCGGGAACACGAGGAGAGTGGATATCAAAGACACCAGGACCAACTTCTTGAGGATATCCTTGAGTTTGGAAGACTTGAAGTAAACGTTCATCAGACTTGGAGTTTTCAATAGTGATAACATCAGCATCCAAAGCAGTAATAGCACCAAAGATATCGTTAAAGTCAGAGTAACACATGTGAGTGTGGATTTGAGTTTCGTCACGGACACCAGCAGTAGACAAACGGAAACAGGCAACAGACCATTCGAGATAAGCCTCCCAATCAGCACGACGGATGGGCAAACCTTCACGGATAGCAGGTTCATCAACTTGGATACAAGGGATACCAGCAGATTCCAAATCGACAACTTCATCACGGAGAGCCAAACCGATTTGAGTACAAACCTCGTTCAAGGGAAGATCATCACGGACAAATGACCACTTCATCATGGTGACGGGACCAGTAAGCATACCTTTCATAGGCTTCTTAGTCAAGGATTGAGCATAGGCAATTTCTTCAATAGTCATGGGGCCACGACGAGAGACATCACCAAAGATGACAGGAGGCTTGACACAACGAGAACCATAGGAAACAACCCAACCATTTTCAGTAAAGTCATAACCATAGAGAAGGTGACCAAAGTGTTCAACCATGTCGTTACGTTCGGGCTCACCGTGAACAAGGACATCCAAGCCAACCTTTTCTTGGAATTCAACCATCTTCTTCATTTCGTTCTTGATGAAAGCATCATAGTCCGCATCAGATAACTCACCCTTGTTGTGCTTTTGACGAGCAACACGGATTTCCTTGGTTTGAGGGAAGGAACCAATGGTGGTAGTAGGGAAGAGAGGCAACTTGAGCTTCTTAACTTGAGCTTCACGACGGACAGGGAAGGGGTTAGGACGCTTCCAGTCTTGGGCAGGAACCTTGGAGACACGTTCACGGACTTGAGGGTTGACAGTCTGGCTGGAGGTACGACGAGATTCGACAGCAGCAGCGTTCTTGTCCAAAGCTTCCTTGACACCATCAACTCCACCACGAACAGCCTTAGCAATGACAACAATTTCCTTGACCTTTTCAACAGAGAAAGACAACCAGCTGAACAGTTCGGGATTTTGGCTGGCAATCTTCTTTTCATAGCTTGTGGAGTAAGGAGAGTGAGCCAAAGAGCAAGAGGGAGCAACAAAGACACGGTCCTTGCCGAGAGCTTGAACAGCCTTTTGAGCCAATTCAATAGACTTGGACAAGTTGTTGATCCAGACATTACGGCCATCGACGACACCGAGAGACAAGACTTGGTTGTTCTTGAGGAGAGGCAAGATAGCATCCAACTCAGAGGGGGCACGGACAAGGTCAAGGTGGACACCGTCAACATGAGGCAAGAGACCATGGACATTGTCTTCCACACGACCAAAGTAAGCAGCAACAAGAACCTTGATGTTGGTTTGAGACTTGATCGTCTTATAAGCATCTTCAAAGGCAGCTTTGACATGAGCGGGCAAATCGAGGATCAAGGCAGGTTCATCGATTTGGACCCATTGGGCTCCCTCAGCTTCCAATTGCTTGATGAGCTCAACGTACTTGGGGAGCAACTGAGGCAAGAGAGAGATAGTATCGAACTTGTCAAATCCCTTGGCGGCCTTACCGAGGTGGAGGAAAGTGACAGGACCGATCAAGACAGGACGAGTTTCGATACCGAGAGACTTGGCAGCCTTGTATTGTTCGACAGATACAGGGTTTTGCAACTTGAAGGTCTGGTTGGGCTCGAATTCAGGGACGATAAAGTGGTAGTTGGTATCGAACCACTTCTTCATTTCTTGAGCAGGAACGTCGATCTTCTCAGAGGTCTCAGTAGCAGGCTTTTGAAGGCCACGACCCATAGCAAAGAATTGTTGGAGAGGGTCCTTGATGTGTTGGTAGCGTTGAGGAATGACACCAAATTGATGAGCAGTATCCAAAACACGATCATAGAGAGTGAATTCACCAGAGGGAATGTGGTCCAAACCTTCTTCCTTTTGCAACTTCCAGTTCTTTTGCTGAATAGTGAAGTAAGCAGCCTTCAAATCAGCTTCGGAAATCTTGCCAGACCAGTAGGCTTCGACGGATTTCTTGAGTTCACGTTGAGCACCAACGTAAGGGAAACCAAGGTTAGTAGCAAGAACCATTTTTTATATAAATGTAAAGTAAAAAAGAAAAGAAAGTTTGAAACAAAGGCGCTTATTTATATTCGTGTTTTGGTGTTTGCAGAAGGTTAAAGCGAGATGAGATGTTGTTATAAAGCAGCCAATAAGAATCAAACAGAATGCTGTAGACCTGTTTCGAGTTGGATCTCCGTTTTATCATGCAATCTATGATCACTCTTGGCGGCTTTAGTAAATGCAACCATCACTTGAAATACTCGGCCAAACAAAGGGCAGGCCGTTAGATAATCATTCCCCCTTATCATATTCCTTCTTTTACTTTCCTTTGATCTGCTACCTTGTAGTCATGATCGCCTATTAGCCATTGATCCATAGAATAAGGTTCCAACTGGCCAATCAGATGTAGGCATCAGTCGTATTTCATTGGTTGCATGACTTTAGCAATGATCAATACTGGCTGTGTCACCTTTCAGAACTTTGTTTATCATAATATTTAAAACCCTATTCCTTTGCTCTTTTGTCCCTTTAATATGTTGACATTCATCAATGATACATGGTAGTACTATTATTAACATGTTACTATTTATTTTCTTTTTTTAGACAATCATACACAATAAGAAATGGAGAGGAGGGAGGAGGGAATATTAGATCATCCAATCAGATGGTGCTATCGTCAATTGCACCATAAGAAGAATTAAAACTCCATTATGTATCTTCATCATCATCAAAAAATGAAGCATCCGCCTTATCGTCAAAGATGTCCCCACCATCAAACATAACCACCTTAGGAGACTGTGGCGGTGATTGTGTGATGGTAGTAGAACCAAACGAGAGTGAAATGGTTGATTTGGGCTCAGTTACTGTCGGTGATGACATCGATGGGTTTCTTTGAAACACGCCCATCACAGAGCTCCACTTGCTTTCATCCACGATAGGCGTGATAAGTGACATGAAGGTCTTTTTGTTTTCTTCTTTGGCCTCATTAGGCATGATGATCGGCTTGGCTAGCCTTCTTTTCTCGCTTTCTGCATGTAGTTTCAATGTTAACTCTGAAAACAGATCTGAGTGATGGTCAAATAGTGTATGCATAAAATCAAAAGGTATATTGCTATGGAGGGTTGTATATGATTCAGTCTTGGCGCGAAGTATGGTGGGTCCCAAGGACTGACAGATAGTATCTACCACGGTAGGGGATACAGTTTGCTTGTACTTCACGAGATGATCCATTACTGCTTTCAGAGTAAAAAAGTGCGTGCCAGGAAGCGTGGAGATTAGGTTACTAAGTGAGGCCAGCCTTGATTCTTTATCTAAGACACTGTTGGTAACACGTCTTTTTCTTATTGACATTTACTTACTTCCTGTTAAGATTGTGCTGATAGGATCGTACATCTCAAAGGTCATTAAACAATCTGGTAGCTCAAGGAAGTAGTATCGAAGTACAGCAACCAACAGTGCAGGCTCATGCTTTTCTAATCTTTCCACCGTCAGATCATCTTGAGGACCGTTGATTTCCAAACAAGCGGCATGTACTTGATCTAGTGGACAAGGTGTAGACCAAACCTTATCCTTATCTTCCGCTTTTTCTATCCCATTCTGAATCACCTCCAGTAGAATTTTAATAAAGCGTGGTACCTTATCTTCAGATTCTTTACCAAGTTCTTCCAGGGGTATACCAAACACTTGATCTACGAACACATAAGTAACCATAGTGATTTACTTGAACATGCTTTTACCTTGGCCAAGGTCATGGTAGTAGCTATTATATAGAATCGCCTTTGGAGAAAATCCAGATACAGTATACTGTTGTATAATGTATTGTATATCTTGATCTGGCTTGAGAGATTCTTGAAATGCCTTCATATTTTCTAGTTCTTGCTGTTGTTGAGAAGTTGATAAGCAGTCAATGAACGATGCTATTCTCTCCTTTATTTGGTTTATGCGTTTCAATTCTAATTGCTCCATTTCGTTGAAGTGAGCAAACATGGCTTCCTCAATGGCCATGCGCATCTGATCCAATTTTTTCACGTAGGCTCTGTAAATTTCATCTGCCTTTTCCACCTCATCCGTGTTATCTTCTTCAGTCATTGAACGCCATTGATAATAGCATGAAGCAGATGCAGTAAACTTGCTTCCTCTTTGTCCTACAAGTCGAAGTACATTGTAAGGCTGAATTAACTGTTGTCCGACCACATCTGCCATAGCGGGTGAATCTTTGCATTGAGGTAGATTGTGCTGTAACCAAATAGAGATATCTTCTCCTGTTGATGTGTTTTTATAAGTTCCGAGGATAGGCACTTTATAGTCACGCATCGTAATATCCTTCTTCATGCGACATACTAACTCGTTTAGTTCAGTCGGTGTCATGATCTTATTTCCCAATTGAATTGATGTTGCTGATAGCACTAGTTCGTTCATTTGACCGGGACTCTCGGGTAATTTGACAGCCATCTCCTTTTCTCGACATTTTTTATGATACGTATATCTTGCTCTTTCCGTCTCCTTTACGAGCCCATCAAACTGCTTAAACATGCTTTCCATTGCCTGCTTTGAGTGTGCTACGTTCCTCTTGTAATCCTCATGAAACTCTTGAAGTGGCTTCAACACTTGAGTACCAAGGACTGTTGCTGTCTCTCGATGCTTCTGCCCAATATTACCCGTACTTTCCTTGAGCTTTCCAAAGCATACTTTTAATGTAGCTCCCTCATCTCGACCAAACCCTGTTGACTTATAACTGACCTTGGACTGGTCTATCAGCTTAGTTGCATAACTTTCCTCAAGCGCAATACGATCTTTAAAGAAAGAGACTAGTTCCTCGTTTTCAATTTTACTCTGGGTTAGTTTTTGATGAAGCACGCTGAACCCGGTCTGAAAGTCGGGGAGTGTTGATTCTGGCTGTTTTTGAGACCAGAATGAACTCTTGAAATGAGTCATGATTAAACGTAAAGAAAAATAAAGGAGAAAAGGGCTGAAAAATAAAATTCAGTGTTTTCCTTTTTTTGCTCCTTCTTTTGGGCTGCATTTACACAGTGTCTATAAAAAAATAGGATGCGGTCATTTTGATAGGCTTAGATAGAATGTTAAAAGCCTACAGTGAATAGATTCACGTTATTTAGCTCTTCAATTCATCGTTGTACGCGAGCACCGATATGGACACACACAGTTCATGCAGACGACACACTATCAAGCATTAAATTAAATCAACAAGAAGATACTCTTTTCAATTGAACCAAAGAAAGATAGACATATGCTTTAATATTCTTAATAAAGTTGCCGAATGTGTTCTTTATATGTTTTGAGTGTGACACGAATATTTCGGTTAAACTCAATCGCCCTTTCTTTTTTGTTTCCCTTTGCTCTTCTTTCACTTCACTTCTAATGACAGATCCTATTGCACCACACAGTCCCTCTATTTCAGCCTATATGAGTGCACATGAAGGTACGCTAATAGTAAAGTCAATTTTCTATATATATTTTTTAACCAATACAGAATAAAGCTACGAACCTTGCTTATGTAAGATACTTTGGTAAAGTAGATCAGGCAACCAAGGCTACCTTCAAGAGTATCAGTTCAACTCAGTTTACAGTCGAGTACACAACACCTGATGGTACAGAAGGAACGGTATCTATTCCATTTAAGACACCATTGACGAAACGAGAAGATATTCGACCTGTATTAGAGAGTATGGCTAAAGAAGCTGAAAATGCATTAGGATTAGTAAAACGAATATTTCCAAAAAGAGTAATCAATATATATTGATATTCATTTGTATATAGCCAAGCTCACTATCGGGTCCACCACCTTTAAAAGCAATTGCAAAGGCCATGATGGCATCCGTTTATACTCCATCTGAACCTTTGGTGCCCTTGAACAGCTTCTATTTACCTCGACCTGCTACCATGATATCCGTTGGTTTAGCTTTAGGCACTGTTGCCCTTCTGGCATACTCATCAGACGCATATCTCAAACGCCAATTCCCTGCTCAGGTCATGGAAATACGTAATACGATTGGTCAGAAGCAACTTAGGTCGATCATGAATGTCACCATTGCTATCCATACACTTGAAACAATCTACACGTTCATGACCTGTTGGCGCAGAGGATGGTATGGACCGATCAATACTGTCAAATGGTTAATGAGTACTTTTATCTTTGGATTTGGATCTCTTCAGCAATTAAAGCAACATGCAAAGGACGTGTATAGTTTCAAGAATGAATAAAACGTTTATTATTTACTATAATAACGAATGATAGAGAATGTTAAAGATACAATGAACGGAAAGAGATTATAGTACAAAAAGGGTCTTTTTAAGAATGTACACAGGATTAAGATCGAGAAGCTTGAATGGTGAATTGCTTGGATGCATTTCCAGAATCGCCCATGAGGACAATAATGTAAGTTCGTCTCGTTGGAAGATCGCTAGGTAAGGTGACAGTATAAGCACCAGCATCAAGATTAAAGCCACTTGCCAAGTCCCACATGAGATGTTCATTGTAAGGATCATTATTTTCAAGATAGCCCAACTTGATGGTGCCTTTTTGAGTAGAAGGAATAGGAACTTGCTTTTCACCGTCAAAGTAAGTTGTGTCCCACTTGACAACATAGCTGCCTCCTGCTCTCCATTTTGTACCAGAGTTAGGAACGTTAATCTTGGGATTAATAACAATGGCTTGTGTCAAGGCAAAGAAAGCGAAGAGGAAGAGAAGGATGATAGTTTTGGTATTGAACATGTTTTTAGTTTGAATAATGAGGAAAGAAAAACTTTGATTGAAAAAACAGCGTGTATTTATAAAGATTTAAGGCACAAACATGGGCTGCATTCATGATGTGACCTAGTGATCATTCTTTTTTTTTTTTTTTCTAGAGCAAGTATTTTTAGCCCTTTTCTATATTAGTATTCATGATGTAAGCATTACTTTTAAACTAGATTATCCCATTGTTATGTGTGCGTAGATCCCATAAAGACTAATAGCATTACGCTTTTGATTGTTTACTCTTTTATATTTGTTTGCTGCACAAAGAACTCTTTCCTTTCGATAGTTCATTTTATCACATGCTCTATCACTGGTATCATAATGATGTCTTTTTACCACATAACCTGACATTTTGGCTTAACACACAAAAGTATGCTATTCTAAGCCAATTGCCTATAAAAATAAATAAGGGCTTCATTGTTCAAAAGAAGTAAGAAAAAATAAACTAAGCCATTGTTTCTATTATTAAAAATAGTAAAGAATATACATTTTTCCATATTAAGGAAAAAAGGGAAAAGCTGACTGAGATATATCCAGAAACTTCTATCGTTTGACGCGTAAACTAAAGGGACATGTGGCATAAGTTTGAAAATAAGGGAAGTTTTCTCAGGAAGATTTCCCTTATTGTAAAGATGTACTACAGACAGCATCTTATGTGTTGCATAAAATCTCCAATGAAGTGGAGTTTTAACATCATTAAAATAAAAGCTCATCAATTGAATATCTATGATGTTACAGGCTTATTTAGCTTAAAAACGCTATTAACAAAATGATGAAGAGAATATGAATATCCGATACTGATAATCTATGTTTACTACTTACAGTGACTAAAAATAACCAGACGATCTGATACTATAATCAACGGTTGTCAATTCTGAGCAACTTTAACAAGGGTTATATGGATTATTTTTTACTTTTTATTCACAAGACTATAAGCATCGTCTCATTGTGTGCTTTATTGACAAGAAAATCATCCGTCTTCTTCTTTTTTACGGCACAATTGCAAACATTTCTTCTTTTAGGTTTGTTCACGTAGTGCGCTTAGCATTTTTAATCATGAGCCAACAAGGCAACATCAAATCCGAAGTTTAGCTAAAACGGAAGAAATTAACATGACCCCAATTCATTTTTAAGAAACATCAGCCACGGTAGTAAAGAGCGTACAAGAGCATAGCCCGTGCATGTTCTCAGCTCCATAAAGCATTGAACATGGTGTGAAGTTTGGCATTTACTTGCGAAATAACTTACTTCAAAAGGAATACAATAAACAAATGGTATGCTTTACGAAATAGTTTTACATTTCAATCAATATCTCTGACTGATTGTATTTCACTATGATTTATAATCTTTTACCAGGGAATCAGACATTATATAAAAAAAAGCACTATTTAGCTGCTAAATACAACAAAGGGAAGGACGCTGAGTTGCTTCTTGTGAGGCATACGTGTGGAAAACATTATTGCGCAGCATGCCTAAACACTTGAAATACGATATTTCCTTTATATTTGCTTCTGCTTTTATTTACATTTACATTCACATTTGCTTTCACACATATATTGCCTCTCATCCTTTTCCTTTAAAAAACATTTTATTGTCGATCTTCTTTCTTCTTTAACTTACGCGAAAACATCACCCGTGGAGTCATTTTGAAGTACTGGTGAGCCAGTAGTCCGGGCATTCGAGGAGCTTGATAAGGAATTGCCATAGATTCTTTTCAGCGTTAAACGCCCCTCAATCTGCTTGCTGGTTCTTTTGGTTCTCCGACTTCTTCTACAAGCTTGATTAAATGATTCTTTCAAGTGAGAAAAGGATGAATTTCGTTAGTAGAAAAAGTGACAAAACAACCTTACCTTAAGTATGAAAAGATCATTTATAGCCTGGAAGACATGTTCGATCTCTGACTTCTTTGTTGAAAGTATAGTTTCTTCCATCAAAGTTGCAACAGCAATTCCTTCTTTTTTCTCTAGACTATAAAGATTGCCTTCGTAACCTATGTATAAAAAATTGTTAGCATTATAATATCTTGAAGACAATAAATAATGCTCACAAGTACTTATCAATGAAATCCATAGCTGAGATGTTCTTGGTCTTGATATTAAACTTGCACTGCAACTGATTTAAAATGGGCAGGTTTGAACGCAAGTTTTTTGATTGCTGTTTAAATGCTACTGTCAAGCTCACATTGCTCTTCTTCCATTCATTTGTTGACAGCTCAACATGCCCTTTCTTGGCTTCAGTAGCAAGAATAGCATCGATTTTCCTGATGCTACAAGTTGATAAGATATTACCTTCTGCCAAAGGAGAAAGAGAGTGGGTGGCTATAATTTCCTCTTTGACAGCCATACATACAGGTTCACCGCTAAAGTTTAAAGTTTTAAAGTCATGAAGAGCACAGCAGTCATTATGTATGAATAACATTCTACATACCCCGACAACTTCAAGCTTGTTTCTCTAAACCAGCAGTCTAGCAGATTAGTGAAATGCCTAAACGTTGTCAGCTTACTGCCTCTCTCCGAGCGTAGACCGATATTGTCAATCCTGTTGAATAAAACAGACATCATCAGATGAGGCTATCAAGTCTCAGCTTTCCAACTGAATAACAATATTGTATGAACAAGATGTCTTTGGCTTATGTAGAAAATATATATTGATTATATTACGTCAAAGGTGTAATCTTCTTCGATATAAACGTAGAAATACGACAGGGATGTCTTTCGGCTGCAAAGATGAACATGCATCCACACCAGATTAATCCGTTTGGAGATCAACACTAACAAAAAAAAAGACAACAAGAAAAGCTTAAGTAATGGGACTGATTCAGTCAAGATATCTATGTCCAAAAGAACTGATAGCTTTTGAAGCTCACGATATTCATGCTTGGAAGAGCACGACTGCACTTTCCGGGGAACAATAAAAAGTGGTAATACTCTGTTTAATTAAGCTGTATTTTTTACAAAATCCTTTGCGACCACAACAACGGGATCATCCTTTTCTGGAGGAGTTATGAGCCCAGTCTTCTTTTTAGCGTACGCTAGCTCTGATACCACTTGCATAAAGGTTTCAACAGCTTGAAGAGTGATTTGATAGTGAAGTACAATGCGAGCCGTTGTTCCTGGATTGACAAGAATCTTGATCTTCTTGGCCTTTAACGCCTCTGCTAATTCAGGAATAGTGACACCTGTTTCTGCTGTGTCAATGAAGAGCATATTAGTATCCACAGGTAAAAGGATCTTGATGCCTAGTAGTTGCAAATGATCTCTAAGCTTTCGCGCCAGTGCATGTGTCTGTGGCATGGTTGGCACTACATTGTCAATACAGTAACGAGCTGCACGAGCGAGCATGCCTGCCTGACGCCATCCGCCACCCATCAACTTGCGAAGATGGCGCGCACGTACGATAAGCTCTTTAGGGCCTGTAATAATGGATCCAATAGGTGCACCAACACCCTTTGACAGACAGACAGAGATTGTATCAAAGTATTTTCCATATTCGCTTAGTGGCACACCTGTCTCTTGGCTCGCATTCCATAACCGTGCGCCGTCAAGGTGCATTTTGACGTTGTTGGCACGAGCCACATCATGGATAGCTCGGATTTCTTCAATTGGCATAATGGTGCCATTTAGTGTGTTTTCGAGGGATATAACTAATAAATGAGAGGTAAGCTACACATGTCGATTACTCGCCCATAGACCAAGGGTTACCTTTTGTTGGGGCACCGCACAAGTAGTCTTTATTAATGTGCTTTTCCACCTCTGAAGCTGTTAAATAGGTGCCTTTGGCTACAACTGGTGTAACGCTCGCCTGGGAATGATAAGCAATACCGCCACATTCATAGTTAAAAACATGGGCACGAGAGTCACAAAGAACTGATTGGGGAGGTTGTGTCAAGTGACAACGAAGACCGATTTGATTAGACATGGTTCCACTCGTACAAAACAAAGCAGCTTCATGACCAATTAATTGGGCAACATAGTCCTCTAGTGCTTTACAGTCACCATCAGCCTAAGCAAAATAAAATAGAGATCGACTGTGAATTGACCGAGATAATAAAGTGTAATAATAATAACCATACCTGGAAGACATCATCGCCACGAGAAGCCAGTTTCATTATATCAAACATTTCATTTGTTGGTACAGTTGCAGTGTCACTTGAAAAATCATATTCTACTTGGCTTATATCGCTGCTGCCGTATGCTACAAGAGGAGACATTTTTTTTTGGGGGAATAAGAGATAAAAGAATATAAAGAGCGATTCCTTTTATATGACCGAGCGGAAAGTATTAATAATATCTTGTATTCCGCCGTTTTACCTTGTTAAATCTATCACTGTTTTTTTTTTCTCACGATCTTTAATCATGTTTGTTACCTGTATCCCAAACAATCATGTTTAGAATATCAGATTGAAGCAAAATATGAGTATTGATGCACGTATGTGTGCGGAGATGAGGGATGAATGGCCTCATTTTCATTATGAATACAATAATATGCATATTCCGCAGCTGATAGCTCCATAGCAATCGAGACTTGTTTTCTTTTTCTGTGGTTAGAAAAAAAAAAAAACCTTGGGGATTCTGGACCTTATTTAGAAAAATGCGACCATTTTAGAAGATTGCCTAGTTATAGATCGGATTGCCTTAAACATTTGAGTTCCTATTCCGATAAGAACTAAATCATTAAAGAGTAGCGTCCATTATGATCATTCGTTGTGTTCTGAAGAGCTTACTTGACTGTCAAAAATTTGTTACACGGAACTAGGATTACCATATATGTAATATAATAGCATACAAGTTCATCAATATCAAGCAAGCAATAGATGAAGGCTCTAGTTTGGATAACTTTGGCATGGAGGTTTTTGAATAAACTGGATGAAACAGGTACAGTTTGGTAAAAAAAAAAAAAAAAAAAGAGTTCTATATAAAGACTAGGCAAATTTTGACTGCTCTAGTTAGCCCACCTTCTTTAAATGCTGTGTCAAGAGTTTCAACTTTAGTATGTTACATCAATACGTTTTTGAAAAGGATAGAGTCCTTCCCTGACTACAGCAATCTTTAGCAGTGTGCGTAAACACGCTTCAAATACAGAACCTAATAATCAAAGCTTGTAAGACAAAGCACAATTCTATACAAGGTTTTTCATTTGAACCTCTTCCATTAGAGAGAATCCTTCATTTAATTTATATACAAAAGTTCTATTTTACTCCGAGTTATTTATGCTTGGCTTTCTCATTTTACCACTTTTCATGATGGAATACAAAACACGCTTCAAATCTACTCTCCAAGCAAAAGATTTAGAGCAGCCAATTGCTGTGTTCCATTCAAATTTACTCCAAAGTGCCTTTCTCGTCTACATTTTGTGTAAGATCGGATGATCTGCATATTTTTTTCTTCCGAGTTTATATAGTCATTCTGCAACTCATGCATTGAGAAGATCAATTGCATCCAATATCTCGTGACAACCATGTTCATAATCTAACTATTTTACTTTTGAATCATTTGATGTCAAGTATCTATAAATGAAAGAAGGCGTAATCTGAGCACTAATGTTACGCGGGGAGCAGTTATTGAAGGGTCTTAAATGAAAATTACCATATAAGGAGAAATTCAAATAGTCCCCGTGCCCCCTTGGAGGCAAACTCGTGTCTTCAAACTTGCACCTAGAGCAAGAGTCATTGGCCAATAAGTCACTGTGAGGCAATAACAGAGACCCTATTGCAAGTAATGGTAATAATGTAACATTGCTCATGTTAGACAGACACACAAAATCGCGCTTTTTTTTTTAAACCAAAAATACCGCGTCGCATATTGAGCTATAAAAGAAACTTATTGTCTTTTGTTAAAAAGACTCAAAGAGATGAGCAGGAAAAAATAAATAAATAGACTTCTGCTTGCAGCATTGCACTTAAAATGCCGGTAAAGAGTCTCCCCCCCCCTTTTTTTTGAATAATTCATCGATAGGCAGGGTTTTGAACTTTTGGCTAATTCTGCATTAATCGTCTGTCCAATGGTAAATTAGAAAAGGAGGCAAAAGAATATCATTGATTCAATTTTTGAATATTTTAAACTTTTGAACCAATCATGTATCAAAGCATTTTATAATTAAACTTGATCAATAGCGTAGAGATGAATCATTCAAGGTTTCTTTGAACTATTGACTACAAATATTGATAAAAAAAATGATTCTGGCCATTTCTAGAAGTTACACTGCTTTTGGATTAAGCGTCATTCAAAAGACGTATTTCTAGTCGATATGACTAATATATCTGTATTAGTAATGTGTGCTTATCTTACATATCTGCCACCCCTTTTTTGCTTGATTGCGCTTGTCTTCTCCTTGCATAACGGGAAGTTTTCCGATGATTGAAAACGATGAATGAGTAGGGATGCCTTGCAGTGTTGGTCTTCAGGTGTTAAGTCCCCTTCCCACGAATGCAAGAGGGGGAAATACGGGTATAGAGCACAATCGTTCTGACTCGGAATTAAGGTACATATTGACATCATATTAGTAATAAAAAGATATATAAAAAAAAAAAGTGAATTTTATTTCGTTTAGCTTAACATTGAGCAAATCTATATGTCACCAATGAGGTAACAATAGAAGCGATTTTTCGGAGCAGAGATCTGAATATCAGCGGACGATAAATGAAAGGCCGTGCGAAGAAAAATATTTATCCATTCAGTCTTGATCCCAAAACTGAGATATGGGAATACATTGTCTAATGTTGGTATTACAGATAAATACATCTGCTGATACTAAATGATTGGCATCCAAAGATGTATATAAAAAAAAACACGCTTTCAGTCGTGATAAGAAAAAAGAGGTAGAAAATGGTGCTTTGATCCGATTAACGGGTAAACAAACATCCACATTGATCTAAAATGTTTAAAGCGGATATAAATTGTTCTGGAGAGCAAAAAGAACTTTTTCTTCTTTATCTTTCCCCTCTTTCTCACTTTCAACACCGATGCAGAACGAATTAAGTGAGAAAACACCGAGGGCTTCCTATGATGAGCTGAACGGAATGACATTGACACCTGGAAATCAGATTGAAAAACTATCAACGGTGGCTACCGAGAAATATGATGTTGAGCAAGGCCAATTGGAAACAGTGGATCGAGTGAAGACGAGTAATGCGTTGCATATAATACATATTTTACATCAGTTCACTCAACGCTCTCTTTTATTACTATAGATGTCACTATTGCCAGCATCATTGAACTACCTGACCCAAATAACGCCTTTTATGATTCGATCCCTGATGGAGGCTATGGATGGTAAACAAATTAAGGTTAAATGTGTTACGGTTATACTGATTTGTCATCCTAGGGTTATCGCTACATGCGGATTCCTCATCAATTTCATCATGTTTGGTACATCAGCTATTTGGGGTAAGCTATTTCTTTATCTTGTTAGGATATCTTTTAATCTTCTTTTTTTCTAGGTGTATTCTCAAATGCTTATGCAACAACCATTCTTCAAGGAAAATCAACCACCATGGAACTCATGGGCGTTGGCTCACTCATGGTCGTCACACTGAACTTGTTCGCTCCTGTCGGACCTCTACTAGCTCCATTCGGTCCAAAGGTTACCCTTGGTTGTGGCACTGTCCTGATGTCTCTTGGAATTATTTTAGCCGGATTCAGCACAGAAGTATGGCATCTTTACCTGACCATGGGCATTGTCTTTGGTATCGGCTCCTCACTTGTCTACATGTCTGTCGTCGGCGTTATTCCCCAATGGTTTAGTAAGCGTCGAGGCACTGCCATGGGTCTTAGTTCTGCCGGCTCCGGCTTTGGTGGTCTAGCCTTGAGTCCTATGGTAACTTCACTTGTCCAAAGGTATGGTCTGCCTTGGGCTCACCGTATCATTGGACTGATGGCATTTGGTATCTGTGCGATCGCATCTTGTTTAATCCGTACTCGTCTTCCACCCGGCGCGGAGAGAGAGCCGATAAAGTCACCTATCAGGTTAAGCATGCTAAAGGATGTCAACTTTGTCATCATGCTCTTTGGTCTTGTCATTGCTCTCTTTGGTTATCTCATCCCTTTGTTCTATATACCCACATACTCAAGAGCTCATGGCATCAGTGCAGAACAGTCCTCGACTATTGTAGGCGTAACATGTGCAATGAACGCAATCGGACGTCTTGTCCTTGGTTACTTTGCTGACCATATTGGCCGACTTAACATGTTCATCATTGCTTCCACCAGCTCTGGTCTCTTTTGTATGCTCCTGTGGCCCTTTGCCAAGACATATGAAACCATGATGGCCTTTGCTGTTCTCTTTGGCTTCACCTGTGGTATCTATTATGCTCTGGCTGCTCCCATCACTGCCTCTATTGTAGGTACTGATAATATCGCACCTGGTCTTGCCATTCTCTTTGTGGCTAGTTCAATTGCCGGTGTGGGCCCTCCTGTTGCTTCTGCCATTCAATTGGCTACACCCAATGGTGGATATATCGGTGTCCAAATGTTTTCAGGCGGTGTTTATATTCTTGGCTCATTGATCTGTGTTGCTTTGAAAGTCAAGATGACAGGCTCATTACTGTCTGTCATGTAACATATTCATATACATTTATTATTTATTCCCCTCTACTCTTTCTGTTTTAATTGCATGTAAAATTAGACTTGTTCTCATCTTTTATATAAACACTAGAGCATCACTTACTGCTTTATTTATTTAAACACACAAGATGTGCTTGCATATATAAATATTCATATAATAAAAAAGAAGTACTGTTCCGTATATGTTGTTATTAACAGTAGTGAAATCAAAAATTCCTTTTTTAGGATAAAATATGTACATAGGAATAAAGAATATATCAAAACAAAGGAGATATAAACAATGAAGGTTCAAGAGATAGGAAATATAAAATACTTGATACTGATATCTAAAGAACCATCTTCAAGCTTGAATTTTTTGATTGGTCTAAGCATAGATCTTGACAGATATGTTCCATCCAAATCTTCTTTATGATCGCGTCTTCTTTTCATCTTTCGACATCTTAATTCGGCTTCTCGAAGATAAACTTCTTCATCGTAGACTCTATTAGCTTGATCTGGTGGGAAATAGATGAGACATTGGTATCTCGCTCTGACAGCAGCACTAATGGATCATTTTAGTATATAGAAATGCGCAGTATTCATTATTACTCGTATACAAATTGATTTCGAATCAATGAACTGTCGTCATCATTATTAAGTTTTTCATTTGAGTAAATCAACACTCGACAAAGTGTTCTCAAAAAGTCCATATTTTGTTATATAAGAAAAAGATTAAAAAAATAAAAAGAAAGGAGATATCCTTAAATTCATTGTTTGTGTAACCTCCTGCTGCGACTCCTCCGCCACTGCATAAAGGAACAATGAAATATAGTAGTATAGATGATACGTGCAGTTCTGTTTTAAATTGAAAAAAGACAAGATGACATATTTATCTATAAACAAAAAGATCATCTCTCTCTCTCTCTGTTAATGGCGTATTCTTTAATTACAAGATGAATAAACATAAAGAGAGAAAGAGAGAAAGAAAGACTGAGAGAAAGGCGGAGCTAAGCCATTACTTTGAAAAAAAGAGCAGAAATAATAACCCCGCAATAGGTTTCCTTTTTTACTTAATCTTTACATAGATGCATAATCTTTCCAGGCAATTCATTCGACAGTTCAAGAGACATTACGCAGCTATACAACAACAAGCAGCTGACTACAAGATCAACTTGCTTGGTCTCACACTGGATGAGTTACAAGAAGAAATAGCTACTGTACCTAATGTCAAACCTTATACAGCTCTTCAACTATGGCAGCAGATCTATCAGCAGGGTCATACGCAATTTGACGAAATGACAAACCTATCAAAAGAACTTCAGAATAGTCTATTAGATAAATATAAAGTGTATTATGGAGACATCAAGGTAAACATTGCTCTGTTGTTAATACAAGTGATATTAAACAGATATACAGTTGGATAAAATTGCTAGAGACAAGACTCGTAAATTCTTGATTGGATTTAAGAAAAACCAGCCAAGAGCCATGGTTGAAACAGTGATTATACCTGAGCCTACACGATCTACATTATGCGTATCTTCACAAATCGGATGCTCTTTAAACTGTAGCTTTTGTCATACAGGAACACAAAAACTGGAACGTAGTTTGACAGCAGCGGAAGGTAAATACAAAAAGAGTTTATTGTTGACAGTATTATTCATGATTTCCAAGTTCTCGGCCAGTGCATGATCGCAGCAAAACAATCGGGTGACTTTCCCATCAAGAATAAACGGACTGTTTCTAATATGGTATTTATGGGACAGGGTGAGCCATTGTACAATTGGAAACAAGTGAGCAAAGCAATCAAAATCTTGACTGATCAACGAGGATTGAATTGGACAAAATCAAAGATTACAGTATCAACATCTGGTGTGGTGCCATTGATACCAAAGATAGCTACCGAATTAGGTGTCTCACTTGCTATATCGCTACACGCTACCAATAACGATTTACGTGATGTTCTTGTGCCCTTAAACAAGACATTTCCATTAGAAATGGTGCTGGGCGCCTGCAAGGAGTATGCACAGAGTATGGGAAACAAAGGAAGGAGAATTACGTTTGAGTAAGAAAAAGAGGTTTGTTTAATGTCAGTTATACTTATATAAAATAGATATGTTATGTTGAAGAATACAAATGATTCATTATCAGAAGCAAAGGCAATGGTTAACCTCCTAAGACAGTTACCGGCTCATGTGAATTTGATGTAAACTAGCTATTATAATGTATTACTAGTTACTAATACCAACTATAGCCCTTTCAACCCTTGGCCAGGTAGTGGGTATGAATCCACTAGTATGGACCATATTGAAAAATTTGCCAATTTGATATCAAATAGTGGAATTCACTGTACTATACGTAGACCTAGAGGCCAAGGTAAGCTACATGTATGTAAGATTATATATATATTTATATTATTAATAGATATTATGGCTGCTTGTGGTCAATTAAAGAGCTCTGCTTTGAATAAAAAAATAAAAATGATTTGATTGGCTGAAAGCAAAATAAAAAATTTCATATCCAAAGAGAGATGTTTTCAACTTCTTTATCCTCAATGTTTTCAAGTAAAACAATAGCTTTACGCTTGAGTGTTTCTTTAAATGATTAATTGTTTTTTTATATAATAGATCAACCAGCTACTTCTACTCCAGCATTTGGATTTGGGTCACAACAAGCTAATACCAACACAGGAGCCTTTGGACAACAATCAGGCAATACATTTGGATTTGGTACATCTCAGCCTGCGACTGCCTTTGGTAATGCCAACACACAACAATCACAACAAAACACTGGATTTGGGTTTGGTAGTCAACAGAATAACGCGACAGGTTTTGGTTCTGGAGGAATAGGAGCAACAACAACAAATACAGGCTTTGGTGGATTTGGAAACACACAGCAATCTAACACAACTGGTTTTGGTATGCAACAACCAAATACCACTACGACTGGTTTTGGCAGTACACAAAATACTGCCTTTGGAGGATCCGGTACGAATCCACTTGCATTTGGTGCAGTCTCTCAACCAGCCAGTAATACAGCATTTGGCGCAACCTCTCAACCTTCAAATACGTTTACTTTTGGATCCCAAACTAATACCAATCCCACTGCTAGCAACACAACTGGGTTTGGCATTGGAGCATCTCAACCTTCAAGCACAAGCTCTGGATTTAGTCTTGCTGCTCCCACAACGAATAATACACCATTCGGCGCTGCGACCTCACAGCCTGCTACAGGTACCGCTAGCTTTGGCTTTGGTACATCTCAGCCTAGTACTAGCACCACTGGCTTTGGCTTTGGTACGTCTCAACCTGCTACAAGCTCTACCGGTTTTGGCTTTGGCACATCCCAACCTAGCACTAGCTCTACTGGATTTGGTTTTGGTACGTCCCAGCCTGCTACGAGCACTGCCGGCTTTGGGTTTGGTACGTCTCAACCTGCTACCAGTACTAGTAGCTTTGGCCTTGTTACATCACAACCCACAGCAACTAACACTAGCTTTGGCCTCGGTACAACACAGCCTTCCACGGGCACTACTGGTTTTAGTTTTGGTGCTTCTCAACCAGCCAATACGACCAATACATTCGGTAGCTTCGGTACTTCAGCTCAAGCAAATACTCAACAACAACAACAACAACAACAACAGCAACAAGGGCAACTTTTAGATCTTAGAAACTGTTTCCCTGATACCAATGCACCTCACTTTGTCATTCGCCCTGACGGTATTACACGTTCAACTATTGCACCTAATCTTTTCTTTGGAGCGACGCCCAAGGAAAGGGTTTTACCAGGAGGTTATACAAGTATATCAGCTATTCCCTCTAGCGTATCTGCACCCAAACCAAAAGAATTACCTCGCTACTTGACCTCTGGTCTACTTTCGGTAAGAAACAAAACTTTTGACATGCTTTTTAATAAATAACCATTGTCGTAATAGCCTGGAGGCGCTAGTAGAGTAAATAAACACAACAAGACAGATGAATTGATGTCAAAGCAAGAAAGCACAGAAAAGAAACCAGAAGAAAGGTAAATCAAAATTAAAAAAGGATGAAATGCATCAATCTAATGATGATTGCAGTAAACAAAACATACAATTATACGTCACAGATACCAACAACCAACAGAAAGGCTTATTCAATCAAAAGAAGACAGACCCCTACCAAGGATTCTATAGAAACCTTAGAAATGATACGGCCATTGCTTAAATAAATAGTTTATATATTCGCGCGCCACATAGATGATGACTGCTTGTGGCGTTAAATAACCAAGAGGACTGTTCCTGCTAAATTTTAGTACTAGTAAGACAGCACACGTGTAAACAAGATTTTTATGGGTGTAGTGCGTTTTTTTTTTTTTCATGACAAAAAAAAGATAAAGGAAAACATAATAACCCCTTCGCCAAGAGAATCATAAAGATGACATAAAAAAATGGCTCAATTGATGCTAATGTTATTAGATCCTAGGGTTAGTAATTAGATTGTATGACAAGCTGTGTTTAATCAGTTCCTTGATTTCTAAAAAGCTATTGTTCTCTTTTTCTCTCATTTTCTACCTTTCACTCATTTTCCTATTTTCCTTTCCTTTCTTTTTTTTTAAAAAAAATGAAGAAGACTCTCATTATCTTTTTAGGCTTTATATGGGTTGCAGATGCATTCCTCTGTGAGCTATTTCATGTATGTCCCTCATCATCGAGTTCCGTTCCAGCAAGTACTCAATTATCTCCAACACCATCTTCCAATCCTGCTCAATCAACCAGTATGAGTCAAGTGACTTCTGCTTCAAATATAAGACCCACATCTTCTATTGCTTCATCAATGGTTCCTAGTTCAATTGTCAGCAGTAGTCTTATACCATCCTCGTCAATACAAGTATCATCAAGTGCACCTACTTCCTTCACTTCTTCTATTGCCAGCAGGACTTCTTCTGTAGTCACCGGTAGCAGCAGTACTAGTAGCACAGCAACTCCCTCAAGTTCAGCGTCGGCTAAACCATCGAATGGAGGTACTAACACAGGAGTCATCGTTGGTTCAGTGTGTGGATTTGTGGCTATCTTGGCTGCTGGTTTTGCCTTTGCCTTCTTCACAAGAGTAAAAAGACGCAATCGTCGTCGTAACCAACGACTCTACAGCAAAAATTCGGCCTCACCTAATGAAAACACATTTCAACCAGAAATGATCAGTCGTCCTTCGCCTGCTCCTGTGAATGCTTCTGTAGAGTATCATGACCCATCCACAGTATCTCCCGTTCCGCCTAATGCTCAACCTTATGGTTACTATCCCTCTCCTCAAGTAGGATATGCTGATCCATACTATCCTCATCAGACATACTATAACGATGCATATTACCATCCTCAACAGATGCAACAACCACAACAAACATATTATGATCCATATCAACAATATCCTCCTGTCATGTCTTCTCAGCAATCCAGCAATAAGTACTCAGTTCCTCATACATATGACAAAACTCTCAAACCAGATGCAAAATAGGTTTGCCTTTTTTTTTTCTTCTCTCTTTTAATAAATAATAATATAATAATAAAGGAGATTTGCTTTCGTCTCCTTGTATATAAACTAACGTGTCCCTTCTCTTGAATGCATATTACATAATGACACAAGCATCGCCCTTGGCCATTTTATCAGTAATTCTATCAAGCCAAGAGAGATCACCCGTTCCTTTACCAAATTCGACATAAAGACAACCTGGATTAGGAATGTTGGGTTGACAACTCACATTGTACTTTCTGACAAGCTCAATGATCGCAGGCTTTAGTTTAGCAATTTGTCCTAAAATGATTTGATCAATTGGAGTCTTCAATATTCTATTCTATTGTAAATACCAGGACTATGAAGACCCTTTCCCACAATAATCACTAAATGATCCATGCCTGCAGATTGGCAATGTTGAATAGCTTGTTCCACTTTCTCACTGGCCTCTGTCACGAATAACCCGTGCAAGTCGATTTCATTTGGAGGACGTCCCTGATTTTTTTCTATATATAAAAAGAGAAGTCAGATGCTATTGTTTTCTTTGTAATGATGATACTCACTTGCATAAATGTATTCAGCAGCCTGTCGATTGAATTCCTTCATGCGTTCATCATGTTTATGTCCCTGAATGGATAATTGCTTGGCTATATAGGTGTATATGAGTATGCGTGAGGATACAAGTGATGAATATAAAACCTTCTGCTCCGTCTCCGGATTGATAAGCTGCTTGACTTGCAGCATAGAGTTCATTTCTTTTTTCTGCTTCTTCGTGTGCTCTTTGACGCAAAGAAGAATATTGGTCGTCATCATCTACATCATGAGAATGTTGGTAATGAACAGAGGTCTGTTGTTGAACATAGTGTTGTTCATAGTGTTGGTATTGGTCTTGGTTCTGCTGCTTCTTTACTGTTTCATATATTTTGATGCCCTCCTGAACAACCGTGGTCACCTTTTCAATAGACTGAGAATTTCCCATATAAAAAAAAAGAAATAAAAGAAAAAAGAGGGGTAAAATTTTTTGTGTTGCTAAAAATAAAGGTTTATTTAATCTTAGTCTTCCATTTCATCATCTGAAGAGGATTCCTTTGCTAATCTTTCAGCTTCTGCTTTTAATTCAGCTGGTACAAATTGATGCTTATACTGTGATTCTGCACAAATCCAACTCAATTCCAATTCAAACTCTTTATCCTTTGCGTCATCATGGCATGTGTAGATACTAGGAAATAGTTTAATACATAAATTGTTATATATTTTAAGCTTACATTCTTGTGATCTCATTCACTGCTTCACGAGCTGTCATGTTTTCTAAATCTAATTTCTCGATTTCCGTCTTGGCAACTGATTTGCCCTTTCCAATGGCACAACCACGGTATCCCTATAGTCAATTCATGATGAATAAAGAGCTAAATTAAATCATCTTTAATTTACCCAATAGACGCCAGAGGGTTCAATCATGTATAAGTTGGGTGATTCTTTTTCAGTCATGGTGGCAATGATAGTACTTGTACCAAATGGACGAACACTAGAATATAAAGTATAAGCAGAGACATACTGTCCCAAACGATCAGCAATGGTCTATGTAACTTATGAGTCAATAATGAGAGAATGAATCACAATTTGTTACCTTTCCGGGAATAGGCTGTCTATAGATATCTCTCCAAGCTTGAGCTTCATCACGAGCTCTGTTCACAAGATGTCGGCCGTCTGCTAATAAACCTGCAGTAGCCTATATAAAGTAATAAATAAGAGCTTCTTTTTTGTTTTTTTCTTGTTACAATGCCAATGTGAAGATCTGCACTTTGAATGCGACGATTAGCGCCTTGAACAAGTAATTTTGATTGAATAAGTTTTTCAACAGCCAAGACAACGCCATCCTTTACTCGAAGTCCAATAGCAGTTCTAAAGAAATGAAAAAAATATGTGATGAATAAGAAAAGAATCTTTTTCATTCTTTCTTTCTTTCTCTTACCCGCTATTATCTACTGCTTTGTTTGCATATTCAACTTGGAAAACGCGTCCGTCAGGTGAATAAGTAGAAACCGATAAATCGTACTATTGTAATTTATGAATATCAAGCAAGTATGCGCACAATTATCAAACTTACTCCTGTACCAATTGAAGTCATTTTGTTGTATGAAAAAAAAAAAAGAAAAACGTAAAGAGCATAAGGGCCGCGCGTACTTTTGACTTTTCAGAAACTCCGACACGGCCTGCTGGGTGACATAGACAAACTTTTTTCTTTCCTTTTTTTTTTTTTCACACAACTAATGATGAGTCCCGCCAATTTCTATAATCAAGCCATGATACCTCCTCATCCAATGTCTTCACGTGGACCTACTATAGGCATTCCAAACCCTCAATTCTTACAACAACAACAACAACAACAGCAGCAACAACAACAACAACAGCAGCAGCAACAGCAACAACCTCAGCAATTTAGAAATCATAATGCATTAATGGCAAAACGCGTGCCACAACCACAGCCTAACAAAATGCGACAAAACATGCCAATTCCGGAGGAACTGGAAGAACCTTCAGGAGGTTTGTGTGTATAAGAAAGAGAGAAAGAAACTGACATGTATAAATAGATGAATTAGACGACATTTCAGCGAGAGATATTGCTGTGGCTCGATATAAACGAAATCATGATTATCTGTCAGAGATATTCACTCCATATAAAGCAGGTACCGTCCTTGTCTTATTTTTCTTTTTTGTGGTATCAACATTATATTCCATTAGAGCATATCGTTCCACCACCTTTAGAAATTCAACAATCAAAGGAAGAGCTTGAAAAGCTAATTGTAAGTACACATCAACGTACCGTTCTTTGATTAATAAATAATTTATAGCAAGAACAAGAACAGTTGGCTATTGAACAAGAAAAGCAACACCAAGCAAAACTATCAAGGTTCCAAAAAGAGCATGAACTATTTAAACAGTCCATGAATCGACTTGTACAAGCCAAGACTTTAGAGGTTTTAGATTCATTTATATATAGTTAACATTATTATTAATATCTTTGAATAGTCTATTGATGAGGTATCACAGCATATAGCCAAAGATATGAATGCTCGCCTTGAACATAGAGTGGAACAAATAAAAGTGCTGTCAATACCAGGTTTAGATGATGATGACAAAGATACAAGGCAAAATATAAAAGATGATAACAACATGGATATTTACTTTGAAGAAAGAACAGAAGAAGAGGATGGTAATGACTTTTTTAATGACATGGTTAACACAGAAGATGATCCTAGTGTGAGTGAATTTCTCAATACAGACTAAGTAAAATAAAATAAAAAAAGAAAAGCTAGATTTTTTCTATTATTGTTTCTCTTTTTCTTCTTTTTAAAAAAATGACAGATGTTCAAACAACCCAATTAAAGACCGTAAAGGACACCAATATAGAATGTAAAGAATCACCGTTCTATGGGCGATGTCGTGATGTTGAGGATTTTGAAAAACTGAATCGAGTGGGTGAAGGCACTTATGGTGTTGTTTAGTAAATATAATCAAGATAATGATTCAAATTGGTATTAATGATTATAGTCGAGTAAAAGATACAAAGACAAAGCAAATTGTTGCCTTGAAGAAGATAAGAATGGAAAGAGAAACTGATGGAATGCCAATTAGCAGTTTGAGAGAAATAAGCATATTAAAACGAATGAAGCATCCCAACATTGTCAATGTCATCGATGTTGCAGTAGGACCACGCTTAGAGTCAATCTATCTCGTGATGGAATATTGTGAACAGGACTTAGGAACACTATTAGATATGGTTACTATACCCTACACAGCATCAGAAAGTAAGAGCATTTCTCTTTTTTTAGTCAGTAACACTCACAATATTATAGTAAAATGCTTAATGCTTCAACTATTGCGAGGTCTCGAATACTGTCACAGCCATTCCATCATTCATCGAGACTTGAAAATGTCCAACCTTTTACTCACATCCAGTGGTATCTTAAAAATAGGTATTGGATCTAACTTTTTTTTTTTTTTTACTTTCTAACAATTTGGTTATCATGCAGCTGACTTTGGACTAGCCAGAACCTTCAGCTTACCTAGTAAACCAATGACACCTAACGTTGTCACTCTTTGGTACAGAGCACCCGAAGTGCTCTTGGGTGATACACATTACACACCTGCTATTGATCTGTGGTCAGCGGGCTGTATCATGGGCGAACTGATGCAACATAAACCATTGTTACCAGGCAACACAGATCAAGAGCAACTGGATTATATTATCAAATTGTTGGGTACACCTAGTGAGACTATCTGGCCTGGGTTCAATAAGCTTCCAGGAACGAAATTATTAAAGTTTCAAAATCAAACGTTTGATAGCATCAAGAGTGTCTTTCCTCGATTTTCTGAGAATACTCAAGGCTTACTGGCCGGACTGTTGACATACAATCCAAAGGCTAGACTCACCGTGAGGCAGGCATTAAATCATCCTTATTTCCAAGAGTCGCCCAGAGGTAAGGATAATAATATATTACAAAAATCTTATGCTTGACTCCATTGTATAGCCCAAGATCCTTCGTTATTACCAACCTATCCCGAGATTAGAAATCAATTAGCCGAAAGAGAAAGGTAATATCATCCTCCTGTTTTTACTCATATTTAACTTTATTTCAGTAGACGGCGTATGCATGAAGAAGAACGTAGAAAGAGAGCTGCAGCTAACAGACTGGAAAATATACAACAAAAGAAAAAGAAAGCCTAATAATGTAAATGTAGATGTGGTCGTATGTGCATAATTTATTCATATAACAATATTTAACTTTTTTTTCTTTCGCTTGTCCATATATAAAAAGTTATTGTTCACTAAAAGAAGTTAAATAAAAGAAAACAAAAAAGAAAAGAAAAAAAAAGAAAACTTACGTAAAAATAAACAAGTTATTAGTTGCAGCAATAGCAATCGTGTTTTCTCTTGGATGCCATGAAGCATGCAAAATCTTCTTGCTAAAGTCCATATTATCAGCACCAGAGGCGGCTGAATTTCTAGCAATAGACATCTTGTTTTTCATTGCACCCACGCGTTTAGATCTAAAAGCGCTCTTGTCTGCTTGAAGCGTAATATCCGTCTTGCCTTCACGATCATACAGATGGAAGGTGTTGTTGTAGGATCCTGTCATGACATGGCTATCATCGCCGCTAAAGGTACATTCAAACTTATCAAAAATACAGTCATTTTCGTACAAGTCGCATAATCTCGATCTCAGTTGGTCATGGATGTTGATGGTCTGAACAGGTCTATTGTTCATGTTGAGATCCCAAATCTTCAATGTGAGATAATCTCTCGAAAGAATATATCGACCATCGTGACTAAAGTTGATATCAGATACAGAAGAGATGATTTCAGAGAAAAATGATCGATGAGCAGGATCCTCAACCTCTTCAAAGACTATATAGACACACATTTATACATATAAATTCAGCCGAGATATCATGAGTTTTTTACCTTTTGCCTGTCGATCACACAGGGCAGACTGTCTCATGTCACATAATTTGATCGTTCCTTTGCTGGAACTGTACATGAACATGTTGCAGTGCTGTGGATGGAATTCAGCGGCTGTGATGACTTCTGTTAATTCTTCCATATTAGCTGGCTTAATGTCGACAATATCTGTAAATAAAGTAAATAATGCATCGTTTTAAAGAAAAAGGGGAACCTTACTGAAGCTTTGATCAGATACATCCAAATTCCACAGGTTGATCCTCAAGTCATCAGCAGAGATATACGTTTCTCCATCAGAATTGGTGGATATGGAATTAATGTGATAAGTATGAGCTATATATATACATTATTAATACAAGACTTTAAAATACACCCTGTTTTTTTTTACCATTAGCATAGACTTTTCTAGGTACAGCAGCGACAATGGTATCGTGATGAGTTAATTGAGGCAAACGAAGGGTATTGGAGGTAGCAGCGGGTGGTGCAGCACTATGTTCAGTCACTAACTTGAGAGACTTTTCAAACACCTTCCATAACTTGATCGTTTTGTCTAATAAGAGTTAAGAATGTCTGAGCCAAATACACCCAGTTTACGTACCATTCGTAGACAATAAAAAGTGAGCTGAATTCTGTCTCTTACACCACTTGATCTTGTTGATCTTTTCTTCAATTTCCAAACTCTTCAAGTAGTCAAATTCAGCCTCATGGGACTGAAACTCTGTATAGAACCTGTACTCACAGCTCTTTTTCTACATGTATTTATATTAGCCAAGTTTTTCTTTTTCTTCGTTCAACTTGTAATTACACTTTCGTTTCTTTCAAACAAAACAACGCGACCACCTTTATCTCCTGTAGCGAGATAGTCACCCGTTTGGTCAAACTCAACAGTTGAAATGATATCAGCTGAATAAAAGTATAAAGTGAGTCATCAATTATAAAAAAGGGAAGGGATGAAATAAAATTACCATCTGTAATATCATCTGAGTCACCTTTATCACCAAAGCATTGGGCAAATTTCCAATTGTGTTGTTCCTCTGACATTGCTTCCCTTTCTTAAGAATACAGTTAAATAAAAAAAAAATAGAGGAATAAAATGATCTTTGGTCATTTCAAACACCGTCTGTATCTGTAAGTCCTGCTCGCGTCCTCCCCTCCTCTTCCTACTCCCTACCATGCTCTTCCTTGTCCCTGACTAAATATAAATGCTCGAGGTTACATGATTATACATGAAAATATTTTCACTATGCGCATATATGTGCATACAATGATATGCTTAACAAGGATATTTTTATAATCCTTACGTCACTTGTCTTCAAAAGAAATACACTTTAATGCATGTGCGTACCTTTAATATTATTTTTTATATTTTTTTCAACATGTCCCTTCAGTGCATGTCAAGATCATGGCTGCCAAGGATATTGACTTGCTTTAGATCTTATACCACTTTACCCGAGAAAGAACAATTATCCCATGTATCCAATCGACTCCTAAATCATCTGCACCATAATCGATTACAACAGGCTCATGTGATGCTCCTGAAACAGACCATTCCTTTGCCTGTTCATTTTTACAATTTTGTGCTCAAAGGCTATGCAAAGAACTTTCAGCGACCTAACAAACTAGAAAAGTCACTAGAGATCCTTCAGTTGATGAAAGAGCGAGGAATTGAACCTAGCAGTCAGAGCTACATACAATTGATCATGGGTCTAGCGCAAAAAGGAACACGATTAACAAAAGAACAGGCAGATCTGATGCAGACATGGTTTGATGAATTCGTTCGTATTGAATCAGGTTCAGCAAGTGTCAAGAAACCATTTGCAAAATTCAAAAAATTGATGCGGTGTATCTATTACCGAGGTCATCCTAATCTCAAGGGCATGTTCTACCACTTTCTTGACACATTCCGCGAGCACAAATTGGATGATAGCGAGACATGGAATCTGGCAATTGTAGGATGCATCAGGTGGGGAAACATAGAAGACGCTGAGGATATTCTGAAACGTGCACGTGAAGAAAAGGTAGCAAATTCAACAAGCTTTCAAGTCATCATCAAAGCACATCTAAACCAAGGAAATCGACGGTCGGCAAGTATGATATTTAGGCTGTTGTTAAAAGATGAAATCTTGGCCGATAGAGAAACATACGAGATGTTTATTAAATACTACCTAAGACAAAAGAGCTCAACAGAGATGATAAAACGGCTTTGGCAGGGTGTCCTGATGACTACACAACCAGGGGATGTCATACAACCAAACACTGTAATAAAGCTAACCCAATATTATCGAGAGCATGATGCTCTGACAGAGGCAGAGCAAGTCTATTTGGATTTGAAGTTGAAACAGCAGACACTCACGACAGCTTATATTGAACAAGTCAGTTGGCTTATGGCAGAATTCGCAGACAGGAAGCAATTCAATTCAACTGTTTCACTCTATCTTGATATGGTCGGTAGTGGGTATAAACCCGATAGAGAAGCAGTAGATCGTATGTTGAGTGCTCTTCAGGATAATAACCGGTTTGATCTTATACAGCAAATCATGAGTGTTACAACACCTGTGCTGTCAGATGACAATAAAGACTAGCTTTTAAATACAAATGAAAGCATTATTTTGACAGTGTGCAATTACCATAAAAGGTCAAGTTGTCCCATGTGTGTGAGGATGAAAAATAAAGTGATCTAGTTTAGTGGTACAAGTACTCGTTCTTTACGTAATATATTACAGCCACCGTATGAAGTTTGGTGGCGCTATTTCCTCTTTTTCTTTGTTTCGGCGGATTACAGGTGTAAAATTTGTCATCCAGCCTTTCTATACGTCGGCGGAACATCAAAAAGAAACACCCACACGGGTGGTATTTCTGTCATTTTTTTCTCTCTACTTTTTTTTTTCTGCTGTACATATATTTTTGATTCTTTTTTTCTACCAAAACGCATGTCATTCAAAAAGAATAAAATTGGTGTAGCCATCTACCAATTTTGGGACACAAAGATTCATTTTCTTGAACTTCATTATCTTTATATCCTCATCCTCATATTTATCACTTCCGGCCTCTATTATTGTCAACCAGGCACAGATTGGAATTATGTCGATGCATTATTCATGGCTACAACTGGATCAACAAATACCGGACTGAATACGATACCAATGTCACAGATGTCTACCTACCATATGATTATTTTATACTTTAGTACGTTCTTAGGTAACCATGTATTGATTTCCTTTTTCGTCGTCATGGTAAGGCGATACTATTTTTCAAAACGTTTTGAAGATGTCCTACTGGAGAATCAACGAAGAAAAGAAGAATACAAGAAATTGAAGAAACAGCGACAAGAACAAGAACAACAAGAGAAAACAATGTTTGACCCGATCCGTAGACGAATGTCACTTCTCTCCATTCGATCGACTCCAGTCCAAACCTCGAAAAGATTTTCGGTTTTCAAAAAAGACAGCCGTCGTCGTTCATTTGATACACAGTCCGATAAAGTCGTTGATTCACCACAAGAATTTAGCGCCATTCAGATGGGAAGACTCGATGAAGAAAATAATGAGCCGGTGAGCCGAAGAAGCAGCGGAGTGTCACCACTTGATCATGATACCGCAAGTGAGCACAATGCAAGTAGCAGTCATACAACCAGTGAAAACAACACGGACAGTACAGCCACTGATATGAATAATAATAGCAATATAAGCAACAAAAACAGTAGCAGTATACCTCACAATCAACAGATCACTTTTAGTGAAGACACAAACATCCTTCGAGAACGAGAACGAAGAAAGTTCCAGCAGCAGAGCCACCGTGAAGACGACCTTGCTCCTCTTCACCGGACCAATTCAGAGTTTGAAATTATGAGCCGTCCCGTCGCCAAATCGGAATTGACTCGACGAGAACGATACCGTATAGGCGGCACAGAATACCGTGCGCTTGACATGCTTGCGCGCATTGTTCCTCTTTACTACTTGGGGTTCGTCATCAGCTTTGGATTCTTCTTTCGTATCTATGTTGCTGCTTCCTCCTATGCACAAGAGGTCCTTGAAACATCCAATCCAACTGGCCCGGTCAACGCTTGGTTTTTCTCTTTCTTCATGAGTCTCTCATCATTCACCAACCTCGGCCTTAACCATCTTGATGCCAGTATGACTCCGTTTCAGAACGCGCCCTGTCCTCTGATATTGAGTATCATCCTCATCCTGGTCGGAAACACAGCGTATGCCATCATGCTTCGTTTTATCATTTGGGTCTTTTATCAATTGACGCCAAGATCCAAAGTAATGCTTCGAGAAACATTTAAATACTTACTAGACCATCCTCGTCGATGCTATACCACATTGTTCCCGTCAACCCAGACTTGGTGGCTTTTCATCATCCTTGTCATTATTACCGTGATCGAGTTGATTTGCTTTTTGGCCTTGAATTATTGGTTACCTGTTCTTTCTGGCATCACCTGGGGATCAAGGTTTTTGGATGGTCTATTTCAATCTGTCGCCACTCGAAACGGTAAGTGCATTCTATATATCCATCACAGAAATAAATTAATATGATTGAAACCTTATGACAGCCGGATTCTCTGTGGTCAATCTTGCCGATATCAATCCTGGTACACAAATAGTTTACATTGTAGCCATGTATATCAGTGTTTATCCTGTGGCTATCTCTATGCGAAACAGTAACGTCTATCAGGTAAAAAAAAAAAAATGCAATTTAAGGGAAAAGTTTTTTTACAAGCTATATATATAGGAAAGGGCACTGGGTATCTTTAGAGGGGAGAACGAAGAACCGCAACAATTTTCTGAAAACGAGCTATCGGAAGCGCCTTTTATTCGACTGAAACGACACTCGACGATTACAAGTATAGCAAACCATTCAAAAAAGCTGTTGAAGGGACCTGATTTTTTTGTAATCACACAGATTCAACGACAATTGACAAGCGATATCTGTTGGGTCATCACGGGTATCTTTCTTATCTGTGTCATCGAAGCTCAGTCGATCATGTCGCCTTCTCCCGTGACCACTGCGACTGTAATTTATGAATGTGTGTCAGCGTTTGGTAACGTAGGCGCGTCTACTGGATATCCAAACACATCAACCTCGCAAGCTGGTCAGTACAGGACATTAAGCAAATTGGTACTTATCGCATTAATGTACCGAGGTCGACACAGAGGTAAAGAGAGAGAAAAAAAATTATATAACAACCTTCTCACTTTGTTATCAGGTTTGCCTGCATCCATTGATCGATCTATCTTATTACCTTCTGATACACTCGCGCAAAAGGAAAAAGAGGATGAATTACGTAGAAGAGCCACGTCATTTTCGACATATTGTGAAACTGGATCATCTGCTTACCCCAATGCAAGGGAGAACAGTATCCAAGGACAACTGATATACACCCGTTCGTGTACGCTATAAGGACGACATAATATATAATACAATATACCCACGTTTATCTAAATAAACTGTTGAACATCAATCTGATAACGTTGACAAATGTTCTCAAACACACGCCAATTGTCCCAATAGCCATAGAGCAATGCTGTCTTGTATATCTGATTAGCGAGTGCGGCGAGTTGAGGTTGTGAGTTGGGCCAAAGCTGACATGTCCGAAGTATCTCTGCTGGCCGAACAGACCCCTCGAGGTCAGGCATTTTATCCTCTTGAATGCTGTTATTTTCAGATTTTTGGTCAACCTTAATTATGTGCAGTGTGAAAATGTCATTCTGACTTGTCCGTGATAGAATACATTGTCTGTTATTCTCTAATTGCATCACTCCATAGACTGGTTGACCGAGTTGACCCAGAGCTAATGACAATGTTGTGCACTGTTCTCGTTCGACAGAGGTTGCACTATTGGCAAGCTGAATGACATGTTTTTCAATTGTTGGATAAGTTGTCGGTAATGATTGAAGGAAGCCTTGAATACACAAGGTTATGTTTGGTTCATTAAGAACATAGTCATTGTTTGTTAAAGTCTTGACTGAGCTTTTAATGTCAAAAGGAATTAAAATATATCCAATCGACAAGATAATCATGAAATGAACCAAACCAAAAAAAGGTTCATATGCTACTCTTTTTTTTATGTCACGACGAGCGGCATATCAAGTATGTAGTTATGATCCTTTAAAAAGAAATTATTGATACGAATCATTACTATTATTATTATTATTTTATTGTTGCTTTTTATTGTAGCTGTCATCTTGCACAACATTAATTTCTGACAAACCTGTGATTGGTAATGATTTTGACCGTAGCCTTGATGGCTTTTCCATAAGCATTTTTTTACTTAGTCGAACAGAATGTAGTGCATCCACACAGGAGAGTGATGCTGGCTTCTTATCTGTAGTGTCCTGTCCGAAATGATTATGATCAACCTGAGCCATGAGATTATGTCGAAACGATGATACTTTTTTCTTAGGCTTTTTAGCTGCTATGAGTGACCGAAGAGTCTGTTGTGAGGGTGTATCAGCTGTATGAGAGGATAAGATGGGTTTTGGGATATCCACTGTAGTCACAGCAACAGCAAATGGCTCCTTATTGGTCCTATTAAACCATCGTTTCTTGGAAATGGTGGAGACATCATTGCCTGTGGTCGTCAGGAAGGGATCACTAGGTGCAAGCGATACAGATGGTGTTGAATAAAGTTCAGGTAGCGATTCATAGTTGCTATCGGCTTGTTTCTGAGCATCAAAGATACCGCCTGCACCATCTGCTGCAAAAAAGACAATGTCATCCATATTGGGTAGCACTAGTGTTTCTCTGAATATTTCTTCAATCTTGGACTTGATCGCCTTGCTTACAACAGAGTAGCCAATACGCTTTTCCCAAACAACCGGTTCTATGATCCAATCAATCTTGGGATTCTGGTAGAACCCATACCATACACGATTTGTCGGCGGCTCCTTGATCTTGACCATCATTTTGCCTTGGATTGACTTGAGAGTGATGGCAAGCACTAGATCGATACGGATGGGAGGAAGTCGATCGGAGTAGGTCCACTTAAGGACCGTCTCGAGTTCGACACGAAAGCCCCCATCATAAAGCACGCTCATCTCGCTCGTATACTCTCCCTGAGGGCTCAAGTGAACCAATCTTGGCTGCGTAATATAAGGAGCGCCATGACCGCCATCCACGGAGCGTACTGTGATTTCTTCCAGAAATGATGGTCGACGTGCATTTAGCTTGGCAACCTTGGTGAGTATCTTTTGGTAAAAGAAGTTTTGCGTCCGTTCTGTCTTGTAGATACCCAAGAATAAACGACCTAATAGGGCATTTAGCCATTGGAGCTCAAACTGTTCTGGGTCGCTATGTACAGTAGAGATCAGATGGTTCATCGCTGATTGATCAAATTGTGTCGTCATTGTATTCTTTAATGTCGGTAATGGAAGGTCCAACTGGCTGGCGCGCATCAAGGCTATGTACCAATCTTCCTTGTCTACACACCGACTACAGTTGAAGTAATAGTCTGTCAGATCATGTGATTTACTCTTCAGGTGAATCCAATTTCGCTTTGAAAACAGTTCGTGATCCTTAAGCCCAGGCGGGTAGATATGTACGGTATATTGCCTAATATTGATCACCACTTTACAATCCTGCTGCAAGTCAGAGTCGTACAAAAACAGCGTACTAAACTTTAAAACGGCGAAAAAATGCTGCTGTTGTGGTTGTTGTTGTTGTTGTTGGCATTGATAGCTCTGGTGTGGCTGTTGTGATTGTTGATTCTGCTGCTGTTGTTGATGCTGGTATGGATGATGGGTAGCATAAGACTTGAAAAATCTGCCTTTCCTTGACTGAATTGGCATGTTTTGCGTGGCTTGGAGATAACCAACTTTATAGAAATGACTGTGCACCATCGTTTCGTCTTTATAGTCTTCTTCTAATTTATCAGAAGGAGTCAACGTACTGGGTAAAGACTTGGGTTGTAACATAAACAAAGAAAGAAGGATCAAGGGTATCAGAGTGAGACCGCCGAGGATATAAGCAGCCAAGAGGGAAATGTAGAATGACATGAGTGATGTTGCAAATGTAGAAAAAGGAGAAAGAGAAAAAGAGAAAGGGTTATTTACAGGAAAAGATATGTAACACTTTTTGACTTTTTTTATTTATGTCGTTTTATTTTGTCAGTTCTTTCTGTTTTGCTTGGGTGTTTTTATGCGAAAAGATGCATCAACAGAAATAAAAGAATAAAAGAGGCGCTTTATTTTTTATTATTACCGATGACATTCATCTTGGTTTCTATGACAGGCCACCTTGACAACAGGAACCTTGGCTCACCCGTATCACCTCACGATGGGTGTGGCAATTTCTTATTTTGAGTAAAGAACCGAAGTTGGCAGCATAAAGTTTGTTTTTATGAACAAAAAAAATATCAGCGCCGTTTGATACTCCCTCAACCTTTGTTTATTTTACCTGCATTTACCCTACACACATTTATTTTGCAGCGTATATCGGTTTGCATCATAACATGCACCGAAATTTGTCATACTTTTATCACTTTATTCGACAACAGCAGGTTTAAGCCAGGCCCATTCCTTGGCGTCAGCAGTGAAAAAGTTTTTAAGGTTACGCTATTGAGCTATTTATTACAAACAAAGCAGCATGTTACACTTACCAAGAGTGGTTTAATATTCTTACATTTTTTTTAAACAACTCTCCTCAATGTTGTGTTTGATCACTGCTCATATCTACAGTCGGGGTTACTAATGTTTTGTCTAAAAGCAAAAGAGCATAATAAATACTATTGATTACTTATGATTGACGTGGATTGAAGACTTAATAATTTTAACATGGCAAGCTACACATACTTATTTTCAGAAAATGAAAAAAATATCAATCTAGTATTTTGTTGCCTAGCATCTCTTTGTCACAGATGGCCACTAACTTCTCCGCCAGCTCAAGTGGCATAGCTTCCCAACCATAAAAATAGCCTTCTTCGAGCTTTCAGTATTTGTAATATTGGCTTTCTGCTTACGCAAATAGCGAGCCAGCTCGCTCCAGACGTTTTCGATTGGGTTCAGATCCGAATCTTGTGCTGGCTACCCTTTCAAAACGTCAAGTGAATGGCTAGCTTTCCACCACTTGGCATAAGAGCCTGTATGACAAGGCGCATTATCTTCCTGGAGATGTACTTTTAGTCTTCAGAACTGAATAATTCATTGAATCAGGAGAGAAGGTTTTGCGACAAACATTTTGCGTACAAATCTTGGTTCATATTGCTGTCAATAAAAACTAAAGGGTCATATCCCCAGCCCAAAAACAAGTTCAAATCATCACTCTTCCTCTATCGAACTTGACAATCCTCAAAAGGCAACAGCTCTCGTAACGTTCATCTTGTTTCCTTAAGGCTTTCGGCTTACCGTCATTGCCAAATACTCAGAAACTTGATTTGTCAGACTAGATCACCTGTCTCCATTGATCATCGGTCCAGTAAACATGACTTTTGGCCCAGTCAAGACGTTTTTTCTTCTGTTCCTCAGTCAACTTGAGTTTGCTTCCTGGGGAATGGTATTTAAAGTCTAACTACTTTATCCACTTCTTCACAGTGGAGCGACAAACATCTTTGTCTATTAGGCGGAATTCGTCTCTGGAGTGCCAATCGTTTGGGACGGATCACTTCTGATTACCCGTTCCAAATGTCATCGAGTGTATTCATCGGATGTAAAGGGCTAACCTGTGCTCTTTTCTGTCAAATTTGTGCCAGTGGAAGTCACTCTATTGGTAGCGGCTTGCACACTTGTGTGCTTCAAGTCAATCAGGGTCGAAATGTCATACTGGTTGAAGCCAAGCTGCTTTAAATAAAACATAGTACTCAGTTTCATTTTTTTTATTTCTTGCTCTGTTCCTTCAGAATCCTGCAATCTTTTGATGTTAATTTCGCGGGTTCTAGTCATTGTGTGAAGAACAAAAAATAGTTTGAAGTAAAGAGTGATGTGGAACAAAAAGTTTCCTAATTTTCCAAGTGGACGAGGCATTGGTAACACCGACTGTATACACATCTACGATAACTACGCTTACATGATTTAAAAGATATGTTGTACCAAATAAAATTCACTGCCATTGTTCTCGTACAGTTCTTTCTGGAATGTTTTTCTCAACGATAGTTTGTGCTGACAAAATGCCATCGCAGCGTCTAGTAGTAATTTTTCTTTTAAAATAAGATATTTTATGTAGTTACAAGAGAAAAATATATCAAAGAAACAGAAAAGTATGGTTTTATTCAAGGAGCATATTCAAAAAAAAAAAGCCGACTTTTAAACACGACAAAAACCTTTGGAGTTTAACCAGCCGCCTCTTCATCTTTAAGCTTAAATCCTTGCATCCTCTGGCAAATACTTCATCAGTGGAGTTGTGTACCATTTTCAATTCAAAGTGTCAACATCTATTAAGAAACTAAAACTACTAAATGCTTTATAAACATCAGCTTGTTACATAAAGAAGCAACACATTTGCTTTCTTACTGAGTAAACCCAATGCACTTGAAAGTATAATAAATGATCTGAAAGGTAACCATATTAAAGTACTCAAAGTGCGGGAGTAATAAAATGAAGCTTTTATATAAGTAAGCAGTAATTTGATTTCCAAAGAGAGAGTATGTTTTGTATAAGTAGAGGCTTTTTCTTTTGATAGCAAAGTTTAGAGAACAAATGGAGATTTCTTTTTTTCTTTCCATAAGTCCAGAAGGCCACATTATCGCTAGCTTTCAAACCCAAGATGACTAGAACCATAGACTGCATGCCAGAAGACTACACAGTGTAAACCCTCCATGAATAAAAAGCACTCAAGACTCAAATCTCAAAAATCAAAAACTAATCTCAGAATCATACCACGGTAAATTCAACGAAAAAGGTGCTTCAACGTACAAAGAATGCACTTCTAAGTACCTAGGACGAAGCATTTCGAAAGGGGTGATGACCGTGGAGACATCGAAATATTGAACCTTTGGAGCATCGCGACCATCAAGCTCAGCAGTAAGAGAGGGTTTACAGGCCATTCATCAGCTGTAGAGGCAGAGCCATAACAATAGGAGCATCTCGGAGTGATTCAGCGTAGAGAAGCAGCGACCTGTCGTATGTAGTTACTCCAGAGCAGTATTTACTAGCAGCAGACATTGATAGATATGAGTAAAATTCTTCAGGGACTTTTTGACGTTGATAAGCATGGGACAGGCATTCGTTAGCATTTTCAGGCGCTGTTGATCATTTGTAGGTACTGATAAGCATGAGTAGGCGTTCACTGGTCTTTCCAGAGATTTGATAAACATTTGATAAGCATGAGTAAGTATTTGAGTATCTTTTGATTATTTGATTGCTTGAGTGTATTGATAAGCAGTAGCAAGCATTTTTTGAGTATTAGCCAGAAGCAGAGATTTCTTTAAGGCTTCACCCCGTGAGAGGTCATTATGATAGAGTAAGATGTATCAGGAACCATGAAATAGAGCCAGTAAAAATGAATATTCTAAACGGTGGTATTAGTTATATGTCATTTGAGACCATTCAAACGCTGTTATACTTTTTCAACATAGGGAATAATAAAAGCATAGGAGAATTTTTAAAAGAGATAAAGAATGAAGAAAAAAAAAAAGGAAAAAGGACAAGAATGATGGTCTCTTTTATAGTTTTTTATTTACGTGAATCATGTTATTTAAGCTGATAATAAATGACTCATTCCTCTTTTCTCCAATAATGTATGAATAAATAAACAACACATCCGAGCACCCGAACGCCTTCCCCCTTTCGTTTGCATATTTTTTTCACGTTCCTTTTCTCTTATAAGGCCGTTTGTTTACATAAAGCTGGCCTCACACACATGATTTTTTTTTTATTATGATTGCTTCACTTTTCTTATTTTTGATGCGTGTTTTTCTATTTTTCTGGTAGTTTTCTTTAAGAGTGAGTAAAAAAAAAAAGTAAGGTGAGAATTAAATGTTCAAGAGAAAAAGTTGAGAGGAGATGGCATCCTTTAAAAATGCAGCTGATAGTAAACAAAAAAATAAAGCTTTTCTCAAAGAGTACTAGACTACTGATTCTGTGGAACACACACAATTGATTCCATTACAGTTGTAATTTGTCAATCAAAGAAAGAAAGTCAATCATGATTGATCTATTTGGTTAGCCACTCTGGCTTGTCTCATAAACGTAATCAGGAATTATTATTTTTCGCTAAAAAGAACCAAAATCAAACTGCCCTAGCCTTCACGTATCAAAACCTGCTTATAAAACATGAAACATAAGTGATTGAGTTACTAGCTTAGGAAAACATAAGAGTATATAATATTTTTATTTTTATTTTTAATGCACATGAAAAATAGGTAAAATGCTTATCTTCTATTCTCTGTTGTTATATTTCTATCCTTTTATCTTCTGCTTATGAAATGCAGACCAACATTAGCGACGATTATGCTTGTGATAGATTTGATGACTATACGCTCATTTTTATAGTAAAGCAATGGACCTTCCAAGTCTGCATAAACTATTTCAAATGGCGCTCGAAACAGGATGTGTTGCTAAGGTACACGACATACTTCACTTAATGACTTTATTGTCATGGATACTCGCGTATCATGAATGAAGGGTATTATTAAATATGTGATTTATTGGGTAATGAGAAAAGGGTTTTTATAACCATGAAAAAGAATATGAATACATAAATGCATGAAATGGATAAAAATAAGCCTTGTAAAGAGATAAAATAGTAGAAGAATAGCTCAATAAGCCTTAGAGAGGATCAATATGGTGGTAAAGCAATTACGAATATTTTTTTATAATTGATTAGTTATATTATTTATCCATTTTAGTATGCAGAGTTAAAAAGTTGGGATACAAATGGAATGAATAAGAGGAACCATATAGACTAATCACTCTAAATATTTACTAAGATATATATTTTACAAAATCCAAAATTACTATTTATGGCGCAGGAGATCTTGTTAAGCATCAAGTTCCATTTTTTCTCAATCTTTTTACCTCTTCATTTCGGGAAACGTAGTAATATGCACCACGATTATAAATTCTTGTGGGCTGCCGCTAGTAATATAGAGTTACAGTTATTTATTTTGTCGAGCTTGTAATTAGCTTATAAATCAAAGCCTGTACTGGGTAAAAAAGCACTATAGCCATGAAATGCACCGGAACTGAAATCAGTTTGCAATGCATGTAAGCACTGAATAAGGAATAAGTTACGCTGATCAGATTTAATATCCTTGGATACAATTTATCAAGTGAAACTTCTTTAAGTATAAGATACTTAGAAATCATCCACCTTGTCCCTGTTGATTAACTATGCACGTCAAAAATTATAATTCACATTGACAAAATTCATACTGTAGAATATAAATTCGATCCTTTTTTCCCTTTATTAAATGTCGCAAGTAGTTAAATAGAACAATAACATTCACCTTTAGCTCAGTTATATTTTGTAGTATTTATTTTTCTTTTTAATGAATACAAGTATTCAAAATAACTTTGGTGGATATATGCACGTACTCCTTATTGGAAAGAGTCAATATGGAGTAATTGACTAGAAATCTAATATAAATACCTATGAAAAGGCAACGCTATTGCAAACAACAACGATTAAAAGACTTTTCAAAGTGGCATACCATTGCACATTTACGCTTACCAAGAACACTTTGTTTAGGAATAAGGAGACCTAAATGGCTATTCAGAATAATTCTCTATCTAGCAGTAGATCCAAGATCACCAGCTTCATAAGAAAAATTCCAAGGTACCATTGCTTGTTAAAAACAGCTTTATCGTATGGTAACACTCTTTGGAAGAGAGAATGATCTAAGGCATTACTTTATAGAACAGGCAAATTACAACTTTCTGCACCAGGTACTATTTGCTACCATGGAACGTACCTCAAGAGAAACCATAGTACGTCGTGTTCACCGATTTTCAAGCCCTGAGCACGTAGTGCTTTTAAAGCAAAGACTGGATAGTCCCCAAAATGTGATGGTTTATCTATATCGTCTCCTCATGATGCCAACTTAAATCTTAGCTGGATAAAAGGCTATAGATTTTCTGTAAGTTTTTGAAAATCGATATGGAAAACCATCGAAGAATTTATACACATATTGTATCTTGTTCTTGCAAGTTAATCACAAGTACAACGTATGACTTATATATTTGAGCCTATACCACTTTGTTTTCGAGAATACATCGTTATGAACCCACTTGAGGTGATAGTGAGTAGCAAAAGGTATGTAATCTCTAAGTACATATAGCTAATATATGGTATGTCAGATGGGTGAACTTAGCTGCGAGCACCAAATTCCTGTTTAATCCTATTATGCATTACAAGTCTTTGTCCTATTATGCTATTTGGAGTACAAATAAACACATGACGACTCACTGTGTTAGGTATTAGTTTTCTTACATAAAATATTAGCAACCTTTTACAAATTTTTATCATAACCTGCCTCAAACTGTTGTTGAAAACTTACCATCAGATTCAAAACGCTTACTGACCCTCTTCTGGGTTGCTGTTGCACTAGTTGAAATAAACCATCATCGAACTTTCATAATGGCTATCAAGTTATAAATTGTCGTACTGCCAGCAATAGATTTTGCCGGCTACTTTATTAAGTCTTTTGTTCATCATTTTATTCAGACCAAGGCAAAAGAGAGAGAGATAGCTTGTTATTATAAGCGATGTATTTTTATATATCGATTATTAAAGTATCGACAGTACTTCTGATCAAAAGTTACTGAACATCAAGCCATCTCTGAGTAAGATAATCGAAATGACTAAATAAATTTCTTCCCTAATAATGTCTATGCAAACACTAGAAAGTAGAACTCGCATAAAAAATTTGTTGCATAAATCAGATTTGATATCCATAACCTAGTTAATTGACTACATGTATCAAGATATAGCCACATCGACAATCTATGTAAACTCTTGTACGCATTTTATGTACTAAGCTTTAAGTTTCTGCTGTAAGACTGTTTTTTGTAAAGGTCCAGAAGGTTCTATTGACGATGGTTGTCAGCGGCATCTGAGCTACTTACTTGATTAATTCGTCAACCATAACTATAGAATTTTCTGTTTTTATGACAGGCAAGCAAAAGTTTTTCTTTTGTTCTTTTTTAGATTTATTTTGCAGGCTGAGCATAAAATACTGGATTTAAAAGGCAATCTGTGTCATGATCTGTGCTTAAAAACCAAGTGTACTGACGTTGGTGAATGTTGTGAAAGAGCGCTTCCCAAACAAGGCAAAAGCATACCAAAGAATATTTTTCTTACTAATCTGCCCAAATAATAACATTGGCGGATAAGTCTGGTCAGTCTTTGCCTTGTTCTTGTTAGAATGTTATTCTTTTGACAAATCATATCACACTCTATCTATTCTATTCGCCATTTCTATGATTTGCTGCTTATGATTTAAATATGTAGAGATTCGTCACTTTACTTTATTTCAGAAAATGGCCATTTTATGGTTTTATTACTGCGCTGGACTGAACATTTGTAAAACTGACTGGAAAAGTAGTCAACGTAGACCTACCGGGAATATCTCATCTTGTTGCATCCTTTATAATAGTGTATGCATACCTAAAAGAAAGCTCATTAACAAGTTATAATACAAAATACGATATCTTGCAGCAATATTACTTTCCAGAAACAGTGTAAACGAGACTCAAGATGGAAGCACTATGGTTGCAATTACCATTTTTAGAATACGTTGCTAAAAGGTTGTCTGAAAATAAAAAACTCAACCAATTTATGCTCATCTCGTACAGCGTTTCATGTGCAAGTGCACGTTCTCTTTAGTTCCGATAGTTGTACGAAGGGTAATCTTGATCTGTTCTGCACAAAAACAAAAATAAATAAAAAATAAAAAATAAAACGGAGAAAGATAAAGGGACAGAGAAACACAAATGAGGGTACCGTATCCATGGATACAAATTGAATCTCCATGGGGGTTGAAAATAAGGGGCGTATTTGTTTATCCTCTTATTTCTTTCTATTTTATTCTTTGGATTCCACCGTTCTGTCTCTCCTATAAAAAAGCCGTTCCAACTTGAGAAACAATGAGTAAGCCCAAAACGTATAAAAGTGACACAAGTGGATCAAGGGACAGAAAAAAGAAAGAGAGAAAGACAGAGCCAATGTTGTGAACAGGGGAATCAAGCTGAGAAATAATCCCTAAAAATCCTTCTCAAATTAATTCCCCCAATTTTTATCTTTTTTCCCTTTTTGCCACACTCTTTGTGAATAATAAAAAAGGATGCCAATAAGAGTGGTTAAAAGATGCTCAAAGAGGCTATCGAAACGATATTACCACTATGGTCAACTTATCGCTTCTAGAACCAACCTCCTACTCGTCTTTTCTCTTTCTTTTATTTCTTACTTTTCTTTGCCCGTCATTAGAAAACAGCTCTTATCGCATACAGCACAGCATACGACTTCTCTTGACGGTCAGTTTTGGCAAAATTCACCCCATGTTCAATATGATAACTCAACATCAAATCCAAACTATATCATTCAACAAATTCGTCTTTCACATGTTGATCGTCCAATCAGTTTTGAACTTGTCCAAAAAGCTCATTCAATATACACAAAAATAACAACTAACGAAGCCTTATTTCACATTTGCCATCAACATGATGATCAATGTCTTATACATGCGCCTCCTGCATTTCAAGATGAACAGGATTGGAGACAACAAAGTAGCTATACCCATGTACAACATTACGAATCACATCCTCTTTCTATTTATGCCAATGTTACGTTTAACAGCAAAGGAGAATATATGAAAGCGGACGCTATCCTACTTTCATTCGTACTCAAACAACAACCAGAGACGTTGAACATATGGGAAGAAATTATAGACCAAGTCAAGCAAGAATTAGATATGGTTGATATAAAGCATGAAGCCTGGAGAAAAGCCGATTGGTACTGGACCACTCTAGATATCCCTTCACATACATTACAGTACAAGGCAAGCCTATTATTTCTATTATTGTCCAATATATAGATAACAAGTTTTAATAGTTCAAACTGTTACCCTATGACATACCACCTAAAGTGCAATTGTCTGTTATTGCGTATATCGTCATCTTTTATCTTGTTTCCATAGCATTCGGTAAATCACATCTTGTCAAATCGGGATATACCTTTGGATTAGCTGCCGTCTTTTTATCGTTGGCTTGTTTCACCACGACATGGGGCATATTTGATAAACTGGGCATCACATTCAACAACGTGCCTTGGTATTTACCTCTGTTGACAGTAAATATTGCCTGTCTGGAAAATATCTTTTTATTCACAAATGCTGTGCTTGATGCTGGTTGTGACATGGTTGTCAAGGAAAAAATTAGTAGAGGTATTTATATATATATAATTTATATAGCATTCCCTGAAACAAACATCAATCATCACAATTATCAGGTATTCAGAGTGTTGGACTACCCATGACAGCCACTCTGTTGGCCGAACTCATGATCCTCAGTGTGGGTACAGCTATGGATAAGGCGCTTATCAAAGAATTCTGTTTATTTGCCAAAGTAGCCTTGATTGTTGATTATATCCTTCAAATGACATTTGTAATCGCCATTTTGTCGATTGATATCAAAAGAGTCGAGGTATTAAAGAGTTACTCCTTATACGTCATTTTTATTGACTCCTTTTTATTTTTACAAGTTGACTGATTTGGATGACAGACAAATGTCCAAGAGGCTTCATGAACTTGCCAACTATGATGGAGACACTGATCAACTACCTCCTGACTTTTGTCCTGTTCAAGGAACAGACGACAAGGATGAATCTAAATCCTGTGCTGAATGCAAAGATTTTAAGACTCACCGTGTGTTGAATTCGTTGATGGTAAATCCATATATTATCTTTCCAACCCTTCTTTTCTCACGTTTATATCCTCTAGCTTTGTTTTATCGTTCTCAGCCTTTCCTTATTCACCAAAAAAGAAAAGCACTTTCATACGACCAAAAGATTATCTTCATCACTTAACATCAACATGACCATGCCAAACTACATCCCTGACTATCAATCAGATGTTTATCACCTCTCTCATCAATTTTGGTCCATCATTAACCCTGAAAAGGAGTACACTTGGCTTCAGATTGAGCCACCTTCTCTGTTTATCAATGACCATGTGTCTGACGTTGAAAGCTACATTGAAAAGATTCAAACCTACTATCACGCCAAATCGCTCAACATCCAGTACAGTCCTAAATTACCTCCTTCTCTCTTCCGACTCTTCCTTCACTCTATCCTTCAGCATCTGGTCGTGTTCTTACTAGGCATTAATGTTCCCATGCTAATTCTCTGGCTGTGTTTGATTGGTATCATCACATGGATGACGCCCAAATGGCGCGACCAGTGGCTTCTACCGCTGCTTGTCCGTGCTTTCAACAAATCAGTTCTTGCTATTCTTACCTTTATTTGGTCCATTCATGATCTTTACAAAGTTCACATCAAGGGCATAAACACCAAACACGAATATGATGCTAACGGTCTCCACCGAGGAGCCATCACGGCGCAGGTCATCTTTAACCAGGAGAGAGCACATATCAAGGACGTACACGTGCGAACCCTGACCCACCAACATGTCGCAGATATTCAGCAACTGAACGCCAATGCCAAAGGTAGTCTCGTATCTTGTGGTCATGACGGCCGACTTGTTCTCTGGGACACTGAAAAGGCCAAATGGATGGCTCGACTCGACAAATTGTATTCTCGCTCTGGCATCTTACAAGCAACACTAAATCCAGACTACCGCAAACCAATAAAGAGGAAACATCAGCCGGTGATATTACCCAAGAACCAAAACTTGAAACCGATCTGCACCAAGGTAGACCGCGGCAATAAATGGGTCGCTGCTGGATATGATGATCATACGATCCGTGTTTGGAATCTACACACAGGTGTTGTCGTACGTGAGATGGATATAGTACATCATGCCCAAGTTGTCCTTGACGAGCCAACGCTACGTAACCGATTTAGTTCGACACGCCGTGAGCCAAATGGGCATAACAATAAGCATCGCAATGGGGATCGCATTCTTGATATTCAATTTATTGGTGCCATTACAGAGTACTGTCATCCGCTAATTGCCGAAGCTGCTGCTCGTGCACGACCAGAGGCGAACATGTGTCAAAACTATTTGTTATCGGTACATAAGAGCGGCTTAATCCGAGAGTGGAACATTGTATCGGGAGAGTGCATCCAAACTGTCAAGACAGGTCACACAAAAGACATCACACTGCTTCATGTTGTCGACGCCAAGGCCCATCATCGTAAGCTGGGTGTTACCTGGGTCTTTACGGGCTCAAAAGACGGAACGATCAAATGCTGGGAACGCCAACTACAGGAGACAAGCCAATGGACACTGCTGTATACCGTTGAACATTCCAGTCCAATCACCGCAATGGCTACTGAGAACCCTTTAGGCGGCATGGGCATCCTTGTCTCTGGATCATTGGATGGTACCCTAAAGGTGTGGAATTTCGAAACAGGTGAACCCGTATGCACCCTGTCTGACGGAAAAGCAGAGCCAGCGAAAAATAAGGACGTAATCGGGGGCCCCATTCGCCATTTTTCCAACTTCAACGATCTCTTGACGGATTCGATATCAGACACTGAAAGCACTACGAGTCATCAAAGTTCTGCAACAGATCGACATCATCACCGAGGTTCTATTCAACAAATTGCCATCACACGATCCTGTGAAGTAGGTCCATGCCGTGACTGTGACAGCTGTTTTGGCAGTGGGTTCTTCATTGCGTCCAGTGCGCTGGATAATAAAGTCCATGCATGGCGACTGGCACGTCTCGAAGGCTCTGAAGGTTCTTGCACGCTGTCTACTCGGGACTATTTTCGTAAGCAGTACAAGCACCGCAAGATAGAGGATAGCGGCGATTTCACGACGAGACGACGACGATCGCCTTCTCAGACTAAGAAGACGATCAATAGACATACCCATGCAATAAAGACGACACCAACAAATAATATAGACTTGTTAGATATTGAACAATTAGGAGGTGATGCTCATGTATCTCTGTTTCCTACGTTTTTGGGCAAGATTGATCAGCCTGCAGGTCGTGGTCTCGTATTCTGTAACAAGGTTCTGGCGGGTGTTCGAAGACGACGAGGACAGAAGCTTGAGTGGGAAGCCTGGTTTGCTGCGCTTGAATATTATGACCCAGAAGAGGGTGAAGAGATCATGAAGATTCCTGTTGAAACGTTTAGTTTAGATCAGGAAGACCGTTTGCCTGTAAAAGAGGGTATATCTACCTCATTCTTTGGTTTGTTCAGATCGTCCAACAATACTGCTACTGCTGCTGGTTCAGTAGTTGATCCACCTTTGAAATACAAGCGTATTTGTAGCTCAGACGAAGACGACGCTGCAGATCGTGATGAAGATGAGGCTGGTGAAAATCTACCATTCTCTACGATTCGCCATGTGATACCTATGGACGGAAGAGGATTTGCTTGTGACTATGGTAACTTTATCAAGCTAGTGTATGTTGATAACAAACCCAGTCTATCAGAAAAAGAAGTGATAAAGCCAAGCAGCATTTTAGAGGAAAGTGGACAGGATGAAGAAATAACCAAAGATGGTGAATGCTCATCAGCGACACGAGGCAAAGATGGATGTTGTGGAGGGGTGAACAAGAAGAAGAATGGCGGGCTATGTTGTCGAGAGAAGCGAAGGATATCACCACCTGTGAGAAATAATGTGTGCGGAATCAAGAATGCAGCAGAGTGCTCACAAAGGCATAACTGTTCTCGTTCTTTTGACTGTGCGCAACAACAACATCGACAACTTCTACAATAACCATTATATAAATTCTAATTTATTAGACTTAACAGCATACCCAAACTCATTTTTAACATTGCTATAACTATCATCTTTATTGTAAACAATACCTTCTTTTAAATAAAAAGGAAAAAGAAAAAGAGAAAAGATCATCTCTATGAGAAATATTGCTATTAAAAAAATCATCCCACTTTTTAAATGTCCCTCTTCTGCGCAAAAGGCAAGCGCTTCTATTAAAAAACAAGGGAGAAAGGGGGAAGGGGGCAGCACTTTGATTTGAAAAGCATAAAGAAGAGGATTCTTAAATATTATATAAATTCAGCCCAGTTAAATGTACATGATTGGGTGTGTGTGTGTGCATGTGTGCAATATGCGTTACTTTTTTGTCCGTGAACATGTCTCTTAGCATCGTGTTGCAAAGATAAAAAGAAGAAGAGTGGACATTATATTCCGCAGATGCGCGCATGCACGGGTGTGTGTGTATGTGTTTATGCAAGTAACGATGTTTAATGGCTGCACACCCAAAACGTCACATAATTATATGCATGATATTAAGAAGAGATTGACCTTGTGCCTACAAGTTTATGTTATTTCCAAGCCATTCAGATCAATATTGATATTCATTCAGATAACATAAGCCTAAAGAGGTTACACTAACTTTTAAGTAAAAGACATCGAGCGTGTTTATAAATCTCTTGAAAAAGTAGAGGACAAGATGAGAGCGTAAAAGTGTAAATAACAGAGACAGTGACTCTAGGAAAATAAAAGCGCAGATGCAGTGCTTCCAAAAAGCAATGTCGCTGGCCAATCAAAATCAAATTCGCGTTTTCAGAAATCGAAGTCTTCCTCATGTCGGAACGAGTCAGTATACTACAGGCACAGTTCCTCTTTTGTTTCTTATATTTTCCAGAAGATGCACTGATTGCTTGTCTGTTACCCTATATCCGCAATACCAGAGAAAGCCAGTGGTACGCTCTCTCTCGTACATCGCTTTGGAAAACGGTGCTGTCTACTACTGAAGAACCCGATACTCGCTCACTCAATGAAGTATTGATCAGAACAGTAGAAAATTATAAGAGAAGTATAAGTCAATGAGTCTCTATATAACCTCTTTATTAAGATCAAGACGAGAGAGAGAGCCCAATATTACAAACAGCGTCATTTTATATGAAGATAGAATTATTAAGGAACCGATTTAATTATGTCCAATAATAGTTGGGCATATCGCGTTATATGTTAATAACATGTATTGTTGTCAGTATCTTTGCATTATTCATTCTTAGAGTATAGATTTATAGTAATCTCATACGACAAGATTAAGTATTTATAGGGTAAATACGACACTCAAGGCTGCTAAACGGCGCTTTTTGCAACAGAATCTGGAGATCCGCCAACGATGCCGAAACTCCAAATTGTTTTCTAGCTGCCGTCGATCAACCTCTCTGGATCCTATACTCTGGCTGCCTATGTCTAAGTCAGAGCGCAGTCGTTGTATACGCTAGAGATTAGGCTGGCCTCTCGGTGGCAAACCTCGACCATGTCCCAAGCACCCAACGCAACTGCTATCCAAGAATCACGCTATTAGTTGCCTTGATATGCATCGACGTCTGTTCACGCCTGAAACTATACGTGATCCACTGTCTTTCCTTCTGAATATGCTTCCTTTACGCCCTTCGGTTCCCCCAAACCTAGCCCTAACCTGATCTCAACGGTGGTCGATTATATGCTCCCTACTACATGAATTAGATCAGCTACACTATAACAAATTGATCTCTACTAAGCATCCTCATGGTCAAAAGTTTCTTGTATGGTTAAAGCAATTCATTTAACTTTTCATTGATAAACCTATTCATTAATTTCCGTTTACATTTTTTACCCTTGTACTCATTAGGATTTTTTTCGCTAACATTCACTTCCAAAAGGATTGAACGGGTCCGGACAGATGTTTATTTTATTTCGTTATTTTATTTTTGCGCCCATTTGGACTATCAATAAAATATCATGTTTAAACGAAATCGAAATCGTATTTTTTGAAAACCATGTTGCTCTGCTTGAAATGATATCGTGAGTCCAGTATAATCAAAGGTGACTAATATGATATCTGCATTTGATGATTTGACAAGCATGACAAAGTCTAGTAATTTTTTATGAGATATGAATGTAACACCCTGCCTTTTAATGCTTTACCTTGAAAATGACCATCTCTGTACTTAATTTTGCCCAGCACAATGGCAATGTTGTTGCTGAAATCACATTCAAGCAAGGGTGAGATGGTAGAGAAAATGGGGGGGGCACATACATCTTTTCACAAAGACATATCACTTTCAGGATTTCCGTCATGCGTTGGATCAGTTTTGCTCGTTGTTCTTGTGAGACATTGTATTTGGATCTGCGACAGTATTCAACTGTAAGCCAGTTACCACTTGCCTCGCGCACCTTTTTCTTGTAGGAAAGTGTATTGAAGACTTTACTCAAAGCATCACCTAAGAAAAATAGGGGATTATAGTTGTAAAGATAAATTTTACACCGAGGTCACTTACGTCGATGTTCCTCTTTGAGTATCCATAGACTTCTCATCCGGACAGTCGTGGCGCCAACCCTACATATCTTTGAACGGCCAGAGCGGCCGTCTTTTGCCAGAAAACCATTGAGTAAATCAACAAGTTCTTCCATTGACCAATGTCCGTAACTATGCTGCTCCTCATTGGCAACCGGCTTTTGCTTCGATGCAATACAAGCAAAGAAATCAAGAACATTTTACTTGGTGGACCCGATGCCTAACATATGAAATAAATATCTCATGCTTAGCCCTGTCGCACCCTAACTAAAATAATAAAATAAAAAACTTACTAGAATCAATCTAGAATCAATTGAATCATCAGACTTGGATGATTCTAAGACAACAAAAAGAAAGAAAAAAAAGTTGAGAAAGGAAGGATATTTTTGGTATGTGAAAGGATCACGTTCAGCAGCCTGTTTTCCGATAGCAACAGATCCCATTTTGTCCTCGGTAATTGTAGATATCACTTGGAAAGGAGTCTCTTGAATAATGGCTTTGCATTTCAGCCTGTTTAATTCGACAATTGCTTCTCCTAATACCATGCACGATGCCTGTCTTTTGATGATGAACAGTTTCATGTTGATAAGAGAAGAAAAGCGCATTGATTGAAGGAAAACACTACATGCACCAGAAGTTAGACTAATTTTATGGGCACTGCCTCTACCTACTACCTATGATGTCGCTCAACAAAGCTTTTAGATGTGTGGCGCCACGCTAAATATGACTTTATAAAGTCAGCATCTTGGTTTGTTCCTTTTCAAGAAGAGATAAAAAGAGATGTTGTTATTTATTTATTTATTCTAGCTTTATATTGTCAGTTTGATCAATAAAGACCACTTAGTTCACTTGTACTTATGATGAATTCATATTTTATATCAGAGAGAGCGAACCGGATAGCTTTAGACTAGGCATAGACTCTGGTAGTGTGAAGTTGTATAGTAACAACATAGGTAGCACCCGTAGTATTAGCCTTCTCGTGGATTTCTTCGTACCTGTAGTGTTTACCAAGTAAAAATAGGATTCTCATCTTAAAAGTCGTATTTCTGAAAATGAGAAATTGGCTTTGACTTGCCAGCGAGATTAATTTTGATTGGCTGCGACATTGCTTTTTGGAAGCACTGTACATGCAGATAGATCTGTTGAATAGTTCCAAGCAGTTTGGTCACACTAAACAACACTATTTTTTGTTTTCTATTCCTTTCCTCTTTTTTTTTTTTTTCTTTCTTTCTCTTTTTTTTCTTTTCTTTTCTAGCCACATGACTTCTGCAGAATTTAGTAGTCCTTTAAGAAAGTATAAGCTTGTATTCTTGGGAGAACAAAGCGGTAAAAAAAAATAAACAAACAAAATGCTGGAACGATTTTATTAAATAAATCAAAAGTAGGAAAAACGTCGCTTATTACTCGTTTTATGTATGACACTTTTGACAGCACATACCAAGTCTGTATATATATATATATATATTTACATTTATATGCCTATGCTCTAAACACATATCTCTTAGGCAACGATTGGTATAGACTTTTTATCAAAGACAATGTACCTTGAAGATAAAACTGTCCGCTTGCAGTTGTGGGACACAGCAGGTCAGGTATTGTGTAACTTGATGAGATGTCTTTATTGGAATTTTAACTTAAAGGTACAAGGAACGATTCCGAAGCTTGATCCCAAGCTATATCAGAGATTCTTCAGTAGCAGTCATTGTTTATGATATATCAAGTAAGGGATTATATATACGATACCACTGTTAACAATTCTTACAAAAAAAAGGTCGAAATTCCTTTTTGAACACGACTAAATGGATAGATGATGTAAGAGCCGAAAGAGGAGATGAAGCCATTGTAGTCTTAGTAGGAAACAAGACGGATCTAAATGAAAAAAGGTATATGCGCCTCTCTTTTGTTTCATAGACTTACATGTACATTTTGTAAAACGATAGAGAAGTGACAACAGAAGAAGGAGAAAAGAGAGCCAAAGAATTGAATGTGATGTTTATTGAAACCAGTGCAAAAGCAGGCCATAATGTAAATAAAGGATGTGTATTTATTGGATTTCACACGATTTATTGAACCCCTTATAGGTAAAATTGCTATTTAGAAAAATTGCTCAAGCACTGCCAGGCATAAGCGGATATCATAACTCGATTGGCTCAGAAAAGGATCAAAGTAAGTTGCTTATGCTTACTATCACTTTACTAATGATTGATATACAGTGCAAAAAGTAAACCTTAATAGTAGCAACTCAGAAGCAAGTGGCTGTGCATGTTAATACCATTTTATAATAAAGCTTTATCATTTAAAAGCATCTTTGCTTTCGACAATTACATAACTAGGCCCAACAGATAAACAGTTTATTTTATAGCTCAACTTAAATTTTCGTATTTTGCAAGCCACAAATTGTAGTCGTGACGTAAATCAACGGAGTTTAATTTAGTTTTCCCAAAATAATAACACGACTACGACCAAGTTTCTTTTTTTTACACTGTTGACATCTTGATTTCTCAATTGCATCATTTTTCTTGGCCTTGTACGTAATCTAAAGCTGCCTTTTTTATAATTTAATATTAATCACACGCTTGCTCTTACAGAAACACATATAATTCACATTATGGCCGAAAACTATGCTAAAGCAAATCAATATCAGTATGCTTCGAATTCTAGTCTAGTCTTACAAGCGAATCGTAAAGGTCTACCTCGCAGAGATCAAGAACCTACAGGCGAACCAGACACGCTTTGGGGAAAAATTGATCCTAAAGATTTTGGCTCACGTGCCGAGCGTGAAGCACCAAAAGGAATCGAAGAAAAAAAGAAAAAAGCAGCAGCCAGAAAATCTGAAGATGTTTTGGAACGAAGACGTAAAAGACAACAAGAAAATGCAATGCGAAGAGCTTATGGGTATGCCTCTGTCTTGGCAGCTACCGAAGACCAAGAAGGGCTCAATTACATTCCTCGTACGAATGAAACTCGTGAAGCATACGAACTCATTTTAGCATTCATTTATGATTATTTGGGAGACCAACCTCGAAGTGTTATCCGCAGTGCAGCAGACGACATTTTACAAACACTCAAGACAGACACATTAAAAGACTTTGATAAAAAGAAAGAAATTGAACAACTATTGAGTTCAACCATTGAATCAGAAAAGTTTGCTCAACTTGTCAATTTGGCTAAACGTATCACAGATTATTCAGCAGATGGAGAGCCAATGGATATAGATGGTAGCGGAAAAGTTGGCGAAATTGATGATGAATTGGGTGTGGCCGTTGTCTTTGATGAAGAAGATGAAGACGGAGACGATAACCAGTTTGAATTGAGGGAAGAAGATGACGATGATTTGGACGAGGACGAGCAAGCAGCCGCCGCAGCCGCCGCAGCAGCTCGTGCTACTGCAGGACAAGAAGAAGAGGCCGAGTCAACAGATGAAGAAGATGGCTTCAAGACTGTGTTGCCTGGCCAAGAAAAGAAAAAGAAAGGCAAAAAGTCTGTATTCTCAACAGAACCATCTGATACAATTTATGCTCACGATATTGATGCATTTTGGCTTCAACGTCGCATCGCTGCTTACTATCCAGATGCACACACAGCACAAGAAAAGACAGTTCAAGCATTCGACATTTTAGGATCAGAATCTATTGACGTTCGTGATTGTGAAAACGAATTGATGGGATTGTTTGATTACGACAAGTTTGATCTCGTTCGTATCCTCACAAAGAATCGTGACCTCATTTACTGGTGCACTCGCTTAGCTCGTGTAGATGGTGAAGAAAAGGAAGCTCTTGAAAAAGAAATGCAAGAAAAGGGCTTGGGTTGGATCTTGAGAAGCCTTGGCGGTGATCGTCAGCGTCGTGGTGAAGCTCTTGAAAGAAAGGGCGTTGTGGATACAGCTATGGAAATTGATGAAGAATCAAAGGCTCCTCATCGTAGCCGTGGTCAGTTACCTACTACAGTCACCATTACTCCTGGTACGACAGCTGCTCCCAAGCAAATGCTTGACCTTGAGTCTCTTGCATTTGATCAAGGTGCACACTTGATGTCCAACAAGAAAGTCAAGCTTCCCGATGGATCCTTTAAACGCTCTAAAAAAGGCTATGAAGAAATCCATATTCCTGCTCCTAAACCTGAACCTGTGGCCACTGGTGAAAAGATGGTACCTATCAAGTCTATGCCTGATTGGACACACGATGCATTTGTTGGTGCAACCTCTCTCAACCGTGTGCAAAGTAGATTGTATCCTGCAGCTTTCCAGAGTGACGAGAATATTTTACTTTGTGCTCCTACAGGTGCTGGTAAAACTAATGTTGCTATGCTCACCATCCTGCATGAAATTGACAAGAACCGAGACCCCGAAAGTGGTTTGATTGATCTTGACGCATTCAAGATTGTTTATATTTCACCCATGAAGGCCTTAGTTGCTGAACAAGTTGGTAATTTTAGTGCTCGCTTAAAGCCCTATGGTATTAAGGTTGCCGAACTGACTGGTGATCGTCAATTGACCAAGCAACAGATTGCTGAAACGCAAATCATTGTTACTACACCTGAAAAATGGGATATTATAACAAGAAAAGCATCAGATCGCAGCTATACTGCTTTAGTGCGATTAATTATTATTGATGAAATTCACTTGCTTCATGATGACCGTGGTCCAGTTTTGGAAAGTATTGTGTCTCGTACTATCCGTACTATGGAGCAAACACAAGAACTTGTTCGTCTTGTCGGTCTTTCAGCTACCTTGCCCAACTATGCTGATGTTGCCGCATTTTTGCGTGTTAATCCCAATACAGGTCTGTTCTATTTCGATAGTTCCTACCGTCCATGTCCGTTGAAGCAGCAATTTATTGGTGTTACCGAAAAGAAGGCCATCAAGCGATTCCAGACAATGAATGAAGTCTGTTATGAAAAGGTGATTGAGCAAATTGATCAAAAGGAAGAAAACCAAGTGTTGGTTTTCACACACTCCAGAAAAGAAACAGCAAAGACAGCCAAGACACTTCGTGATATGGCCCTGGACAAAGACACTATTTCTCGTTTCTTGAAGCAAGACTCTGCTAGTCGTGAAATCTTACAATCGGAAGCAGCTACTGTCAAGGATGGCAATCTACAAGACCTCTTGCCCTATGGTTTTGCCATTCATCATGCAGGTATGACTCGTGCTGATCGTACACTCGTTGAAGAATTGTTTGCCGACGGTCATATCAAGGTGCTTGTATCTACTGCTACACTTGCTTGGGGTGTTAACTTGCCTGCCCATGCTGTCATTATCAAGGGTACTCAAATCTATTCCCCTGAAAAAGGTCGATGGGTAGAACTTTCACCACAAGACATATTGCAAATGTTGGGTCGTGCTGGTCGTCCACAATATGATACCTATGGTGAGGGTATCATCATTACATCCCATAATGAACTACAGTATTACCTTTCACTCTTGAACACACAACTTCCCATCGAATCACAGTTCATTGCTAAGCTGGCTGATAATCTGAACGCTGAAATTGTGCTCGGTACAATCAGAAACCGTGATGAAGCTGTTCAATGGTTAGGATACACGTATCTTTACGTACGTATGCTGCGTAATCCATCTCTCTATAGTATAACTCCTGACGAAATGGACGAAGATCCTCATTTGGAGCAAAAACGAGTTGACCTTATTCACTCAGCGGCTACTATTCTGGACAAGTGCAACTTGATTAAATATGACAAGAAATCAGGACGCTTCCAGGTGACCGAACTCGGACGCATTGCCTCACACTACTATGTCACACACCACTCCATGTCCACATATAATCAGCATTTGCGACCTATGATGAGCGAGATTGAACTGTTCCGTGTGTTTGCCTTATCAGATGAATTCAAGTACATCCCTGTGCGTGAAGAAGAAAAGATGGAGTTACAGAAACTTCTTGAACGTGTTCCTGTACCTGTCAAGGAGACATTGGATGAACCTACTGCAAAGATTAACGTCTTGCTGCAATCCTATATATCACAACTCAAGCTGGAAGGTTTTGCATTGGTATCTGATATGGTCTATGTCACACAGAGTGCTGGTCGTATCCTTCGTGCCATTTTCGAAATCTGTTTGAAGCGTGGCTGGGCGCAACTGACAAAAACAGCTCTTAACCTATGTAAGATGGTGGAGAAACGCATGTGGTTACCCATGTCTCCTTTACGTCAATTTAAGACAATGCCTCAAGATATTATTCGTCGATTGGAGCGCAAGGAGTTTCCATGGGAGCGCTACTTTGATTTAAATCCACAAGAGCTTGGTGAACTCCTTGGTCAGCCCAAACTTGGCCGTACGCTTCACAAGTATGTCCATCAGTTCCCGAAACTGGATCTTCAAGCACATGTTCAACCCGTCACTCGCTCATTGCTCAAGGTTGAACTCACGATTTCTCCTGACTTCCAATGGGATGAAAAGGTGCATGGTATCGCTGAAGCCTTCTGGATTATGGTTGAAGATGTCGATGGTGAACACATTTTGCACCATGAATACTTTATATTGAAGCAACGATATGCTGAAGATGAACACTTTGTGTCCTTTACCGTGCCACTTTATGAACCTTTACCACCTAATTACTATATCACCATTGTCGCTGATCGATGGCTGCACTGTGAGACCAAGTTGCCTGTGTCCTTTAGACATCTTATCTTGCCTGAAAAGTATCCTCCTCATACAGAGCTTCATGATCTTCAGCCATTGCCTGTTACTGCTTTGCGCAATCCTGATTACGAGAAGCTTTATGCAGGCTGGATCAATCATTTTAATCCTATTCAAACTCAAGTCTTTAATGCCTTGTATACTACAAACGACAATGTACTCATTGGAGCACCTACTGGCTCTGGAAAGACTGTCTGCGCCGAATTTGCACTTCTTCATTTGTGGAATCAAGCTGCTGACTCTCGTGCTGTTTATATCGCACCATTCCAAGACTTGGTAGATCAACGCGTTGCAGAATGGGCCGAGAAGTTTAAAAAGATTGGACAAGGCAAAGAGGTGGTTGCTTTGACTGGTGAAACAAGTGCTGACTTGAAGCTGCTTGAACGCGCTGATATCATCTGCTGTACTCCTACTCAATGGGATATCATCTCTCGTCGTTGGAAACAGAGAAAGAATGTTCAGAACGTTGACTTGTTTATTGCCGATGAAATTCATATGATTGGAAGTGAACTTGGACCTACATACGAAGTTATTGTCTCAAGAATGAGATACATCGCATCACAAACACAGCGTCCTATCCGTATTGTAGCTCTTAGTACTTCACTTGCTAATGCTCGTGATTTGGGTGAATGGATTGGTGCAACCTCTCATTCGGTCTTCAACTTCCATCCTTCTGTTCGCCCAGTACCCTTGGAGATTCACATTCAAAGTTACAACATACCACACTTTGCTTCCCTCATGATCGCTATGGCTAAACCTGCTTATATTGCTATTACTCAGCATGCTGACAACAAGCCAGCAATCGTTTTTGTACCTTCAAGAAAGCAATGTAAACTCACAGCCGTTGATTTGATCACCTATTGTATCGCTGATGATAAGGCTCACCAGTTCTTACGTTGCAAGCCAGAAGAGATTACATCTATTTTGGAACGTGTACAAGACAAGTCATTAGTTGAAACCCTTCAACATGGTATTGGTTTCTACCACGAAGCATTATCAAAGCAAGACAAGAAGATTGTTGAGCAACTATATGAAAGCGGTGCTATTCAAGTATTGATTGCCTCTCGTGATACCTGTTGGGCCTTGCCACTGCATTCACATATGGTCATTCTTATGGGTACTCAGTACTTTGAAGGAAAAGAACATAGATACGCCGACTATCCTATCACAGATGTATTGCAGATGCTAGGACGTGGTTGTCGACCTTTGGATGATGAAACCGGCAAATGTGTTCTTATGTGTCAGGCGAACAAGAAAGAATATTACAAGAAATTCCTGTATGAAGGTTTGCCAGTCGAGTCTCATTTGGATCAACAATTACATGACCATTTCAATGCTGAGATAGTGACAAGGACTATTGAAAACAAGCAAGATGCAGTTGACTATCTTACTTGGACGTTCTTGTATCGTCGTATGGCACGCAATCCCAACTATTATGGTTTGCAAGGTACTTCACATCGTCACCTCTCCGATCACCTTTCAGAGTTGGTTGAAAATACCTTGACCGAACTTGAAGAAACCAAGTGTATTGCAATTGAAGATGACATGGACATTAGCCCACTTAACCTGGGTATGATTGCTGCTTACTACAACATCAACTACACAACCGTAGATATGTTTAGCGTAAGTCTAAAGGAAACGACCAAGCTTCGTGGTCTCTTGGAAATTGTGTCTTCAGCCACTGAATTTGACAATATCCCTATTCGTCATCACGAAGAATCAATTCTTCAGCGCATCTATGATCGTGTGCCCATCAAGCTGGCGACACCCAAATTCAATACACCAAGAATCAAGACGAACATTTTGCTGCAAGCCCACTTTTCTCGCATCCAATTACCACCTGATCTTCAATCCGATCAAACCCTTATTCTGGATCGCGTCATTCCTCTCTTGCAGGCTTGTGTAGATGTCATTTCGTCCAATGGCTGGTTACCACCTGCTCTGTCCACTATGGAATTATCACAAATGTCTGTACAAGCCATCTGGGATCGCGACTCACCGCTGAAACAAATTCCTTACTTTACGAATGAGATTATCAAACGATGTGAAGACAAGGGAGTCGAATCTGTGTTTGATATCATGGAATTGGAAGACGATGTTCGTAACGACTGTCTTCGTCTGGATCAACAAAAGATGCGTGAAGTGGCTCGATTTGTGAACAGATACCCAAATATCGAAGTTGGATTTGACGTGACCGATAAGGATGCTGTGACTGCAGGCAGTATAGTGAATGTAAAGGTTCAATTGGAACGTGAAGCAGATGAAGATGAAGAGATTGGGCCTGTGATTGCGCCTTTCTATCCCAAGAAGAAGGATGAAGGTTGGTGGATCATTGTTGGTGACCCAGAAACAAAGACGTTGTTGGCTATCAAGCGAGTGACACTGCATCATAAATTGACTGTCAAGCTTGATTTTGTTGCGCCCAAGGCTGGCCATCATAATTTGAATCTTTATTTGATGTCTGACAGCTACAGTGGATGTGATCAAGAATTAGAAATGGAACTCGATGTGGGTGAAGGAGAAGAAGAAAGTGAAGAAGAGGAATCTATGGATGAAGACGAATAAATTATGTGTATTGCTTAAAGATATTTCAAAAAATAAAGTTGCATGTGCATACATATTTTGTTAAAAAAAGACCTTAAGAGAAATGGTTGCCTATTTTTTAGCTAACGTTCTGCCCCTGAAAAGCAAGGTGTATCCCCCCCTCGTGATTACAAAGATAAAGGCAGTTACATTAATAGCTCTACTTCACATGGTCATAAAAGTGTAAATAGCAGAATAAATAAGTTTATTTTGTATCATTAATCAATAACAATACGCAATTAAATAATAATACGAATTTAAAAATAAATAACTTAGTGAGCGACAGGAGCGATCTGAACTTCGGGAACTTGTTGGTTGAAGACAACATAGTTGTTCTTTAAGAAGACATCACCCAAGATGGCAAGGTCACCACCAGCAGCGAAGCCGGCAATACACTTGCTACCACTCTTTTCGTAAATAAGGGAATCGGCAGGGACTTGGAAGGTAGAAGAACCAAGAGTGAAGATAAGAGGTTGCAACTTGGAGGAATCACAAGTAATAGTGTAAGTACCATCACCGTTGTCAGTAGCACCGTAAGTACGAGCAACGCTAGCAGCAACGCTATCAGGAAGGAGCAAGAGAGTGGTTCCGGTGTCAAGGATGGCGCTGAAGGATCCACCGATGGACTTGCTACCAATCTTGGTACCCTTGACAGTAACACCCCAGAAACCTTCAGAATTGTCAATAGGAACGGTGGTTAAGGGGCCCTTGAACTTGGTGGAGTCGTAACCGCCAAAGAGGTATTCACCACCGCCACCGTTCTTGGCCTTACCGAGGTAGACACCATAGATGGGACGACTGATGAGACCTTGGCTAATCAAGTTGTCAACAGGAGTCTTGACACCACGGACAGTAGTGATGCTGTTGAAAGCAAGACCCAAGAGGCCATCAATGACATCTTCAGCGAAAGCGCTGGATTCACGCTTGGCTAAACCAATGGTTTGGTCCTTGATAACGAGACCACCGAGGTTGACAGTATCCTTGGCCAAGACACCGCTAGCAGAGGAACCATCACCATAAGAGATGGACCAGGGACGACCATCAGCCTTGTAAGTGCTGGACTTGTTGGGATTATATTTGGTGTGAGAGCTGCTGCAGGAGGAACATAAAGTAGAAGCTATAGAAAGATAAAGTTAGAGATAAATGCTTAATATAATAATCTTAAGCTTTACCGAACCACAAGTCAGATGAACCAGTATCAAAGTCGAGCTTAAGTTGGACACCAGGAGTACCAACAGTAACAACACCGTAGTATTCAAGGTCACTGCCAACGTCAACAACAGGAACAGAACCGGTACTTTGAGGAGAGATTTCACCGCCCTTGGGGGTCTTGTTGTACTTGGCAAGAGCCTTAAGGAGAGATCTTTTAGCGTTAGGCTTGAAATCATTGTTCTTGGCCAAGGGAATACTGAGCTTCTTGCCGTTAGGAGCAGCTTCGACAGCGAGTGCCATGGTGGCGATGGCCACACATGAAGAAATTAAGGTAAACTTCATTTTACTTGTGTGTTAAAAAAGAAAAGAAAGGAATTGGTTTGATGTAGAAACGAACTTGGTGAATTTTCTAATGCCCTTTTTATATCATTTTTTTTTCTGTCTCTCAAACAACCTTTTCCTGTTTCTCTTTCTTTCATTTCTCAATGTTATCAATGTAATACATTTATGGTTGCCTTGTTTATATTGATTTAACTGTATTTAGTCATTCTATCCAAATAGAAACAGGATTATGATTTGCGTGGTAAAAAAAGAAATGAATTAAATTGACTGATGTGGTACTACAATAACCGTATTTCAAGTTACGCTAAATGCATCTAATAATCCACAATTTATATTCACTAATTTCCCCTCTCTCTTCTCCAGTAATGTAGACGGAAAGAAAGAAAAAGAACAAATAAAAAAAAGATGACATAACGTAATAAAGTTGCTCTTCCGTTAACATCTCAATGCTTAAAATGACAAAGATAAAGATAAAATAAAAAGAAAAGTAAAGGATCGCTCAGGTCACATGGTTTGACTAAAGACCTGCATATTGGGATCCTGTTACCGGGGACTCATCATTCAATTCCCCATATGCTACTGTTACGACTTACATATGTTTGGTTTAGTCTCGATGATTGCAATGAAGCATTTTGTTACTAAATTTCCGATCAACCGTCCTTTTGTAGATATAATGTCAGGTGCTCCTGATCGTTGTGTGTTACATTCGGTATTAAAATAATAGTTTTTTCCATATACTTGTTACATTATATCAATTAAAAAAAAAAAAAAAGGAGAAGTCTTTACCGAATACCTAAAATATATACTTTATAATCGTCATCATTTAATTGTAATATTCACGTATAGAATTGCTTTTTAGAGGAGATTCATTGTATTTTACTTTATTTGGTAAATTGTGGATCCTTAGAACAAGAGAAAGATCCCATTTGGTCTTTATGCTGTACAACTTTAATAAATAATGCTTATCTATTAAACTTGCAGTGATCAAATATGTTGTGTTACTTTCATCAAGTGGTATCATATGCCTACAAAATGACTGATACAATACACGGCGCAGGCCGTATGAATCAAGATATATGCATGGTGTACATTAAGCCTTTTCAAGTATATTTTCTTTATGGTACTAGCGTTCCATCTTTTGCTAAAAGTGGTAAAACTATACTTATTTAGAAAAAATCAGATCTCCCCGCTCTACAAAGAAAAAAAAAAACAAAAAACAAACGAGATAGAGAGAATACTACACAAAGTACGTTGAGAAACTGATCGAGAATTTTATGAGGCGATTTTTCAGATAATTGAAGCATTTGTGCAGTTTATGAGAGACACATTGATGTGAAAGAGAATTCCATGTAATTGTTATTAGCCTTTAATTAGTCCAAATTAAATTAGTTGTAAACATAAACTGCAGGGTCATACTGCCCAAGTCTTCGTTTTCTTCTTTCAAAAATATATATAACCATTTCATTAGCCTAAAGGGCATAAAGATACTCTTTCCAGTAGATTGTGTAACAGCTACGCTTGAAGTAAATTGGTTGTTTTCATCACTTCAGTCCAAGAGGAAGATTTGAAAGCATCAGCTCGCAGTACTACTTATAGCATGGAATGAAACTATAACGTGTTTCTTGGCAAAAACTCGTTTTAAAATGATCAATAGAAGCAATCTCAAGGAAGAACATGTATGGCCTATCGATAACACCATAGGTAGCCAATAGCGATCGTCAATGTTGCACTGGAAATGTTCTTTTCTGAATTTAAGAATCCGTCTATAAAGAAATCCGTTCTTGCAAAACGCATAAGTGAGAAATACAGTCTATCTCTCGCGCCTATAATTACACAGTCAAAAGAATGAGATCCTGAAGGAATTATAACAGCTAATGCTTCATTTAATATAGACAACGGCTTAGCTAGAGAGGCCGACACGACCTCATAGTATTGTAAATCATATAAATGATGCATTCGCCTTGATCCAGACTTTTGCCGTAGAGAGCTCGCAAGGAAATCATCAACAGTAGAAAGTAAATATCACGCGGACAGATGTAAAGCAATGTATCATTTGAGCCAGCCTATTACAAGCACAAGATTCGTTTTCAAAATAGCAACAACATAGCTAAATTCCGTGGTATGGCAATGGCTGGATGTCATACGTTTTTATTTCTGTAAAGATGATTATAGAAGATATCTTTGGATAAAGAAATTAGCTTATCTAATACAGTAACATCTTTTTGTAAACTGTCCTCATGTTTTGGTTTAACGTCACACACTGGGTTGAATGTACTTGATAAGGCATAGCTTATCTTTTTTTTTTTAAAAAAAAAAGCGTGTTAAACATGTATTCTGTAACAAATGGAATTTCTAATGGTTGCATTCGTACCCTCGTACTGCAGTGTACACTGCGAGAGCACAACGCTCGTCATCGATCTCTAATCGGATTGGGTTGCAGTAGTGTTACCCACTTCATTCAAGAGAATCAATTTTTCTCCGAGGCAAATGACATCTCTGAGTTGCATATGAAAATTGAAACGTGAGACAATCATTGCTATAGCTACATTTGTGTGAGAAAAAATTACCCTCATCCTTTAGTAATAGCAACAAGGGGCACATTACTGTCCATTGAGAAATTGAACAAAGAGTTCTCTGAATCCTTATATTGATTTTAGTATAGGGCATCTTTTTGCTATTTAATTTTGTGCTGCATGTATATACACGCATGTATGCATGTTTAAACCATAAGAAAGATGCATCATATAAGAAATTCTATATAGGTAATTAAGTACGGATCGTTTAAAAAATGCCTCGTCAAGTAAAATGTTCATTGAGCATAGTTTAAATTAAAAAATGTGCTGTGTTTATTATAGTTTTAATAAAAACAGAGACTAAAGACTTGCATTTTGAGACTTGAACCAATTTTAACGAGCAGGCCTTGGTGGAGAACGAGGAGGTGCAGGGCCCGGAATGATAGGGTAAGGTGAATTGTTGACCATTTTCGTTTGGGGAAATAGGAATATTCAAAAGTGACAGAGTGTATTTATATAAAGATATCCTTGTTGTCAATATGAAAGAGACTCTTTGACTAGCAACTTTTCTATTTTTGTTCAGAGATGAACTATTCACGTCTACATTTTCATATATCCTACTATGGAATGAAAAATATACATGTACATAAAAGATGATAAGCTCCCTTGAGCATGGTTTGTCATTTAGACTGCAATTGACAAAAGGTCGGGCTGACAACAAATTGAACGACGGCATAATTAAAGACATGATAGAAAGAGATAGACAATGAAATAAAATCTAGTTCTTGAATGATAAAAGCACCTAAAGATTGCTAAATAAATGATCCCATCATGGTAATCAACCATAATGGAATAGCCAACATGATGTTCTTTAGTGAACGCTTGTATATACCTATCGTAGTTATCAACAAAAAACTATTTTCCAAACAACATTCTCTTGAATGTAGGCGTAATAATATGATTTTTGATATATAATATAAGTAAAGTATTAGTCTTTTCATACTTGGCGTCTATATAAGAATGGTCAATATAGAAATGGCACACGCATTCATAGTATAACATAAGAAACGCGTAATAACAAAAAGAAAGAAGTATTAGCTTGGTGAAAGAAGACTCATTTGTTTATTATCATCTTCAACAAAAAACAATTATAGGCCATCCCAGAAAGAAAGTCCAAGATTTACATTTTGAGATTTGAGCCAGGATTATCGGGGAGGTCGTGGTTTTGTAGGAAAGATAGGGCGAACAGGGCGCATAGGTTCGTTGATCATTTTGTTTTAATTTAAGAATAAAGATTACTCGAAAATAGTTGGGCCTATTTATATAAAACAGGACGCCTTTGTTATCGCTTTGAAAGAAACTCTTTAACTAACAACATTTCTATTTCTGTTCGCGCTCCTTCAAATCGACGTGTGTATAATTAAATGGTTCATTGTGAGATGACAAGTATGAAGATTCATCAAGGCCCTCTTTAGTTTTCATCTAAAGCTACGTTGACAACATACCAGAGAAAAGAGAAAGGTATCATTTGCATCTTGAGGAGCAAAAAAGACTCTACGGTTACATTGAATGTAGTATATGATTTGGCGGATACTCTGTATACTCTCACGCCTTTTTTTTTTATGGAATCATGGCATTCAATAAGAAAGCACTTTCGTTCAAAGAATACTCAATTATAACGACTCACACCAAGATAAGCATGAACAATCAGGTAGGATGTTGTTCCTGGTGTAAAAGCTATTATATCTCAAAATAAAAATGACTGCTAGAACACGGAAAACATATCATGAAACACATTGTGGTCAAATATTAGGGTAATTGTTTATCAAAGCGTGTTTACTATTGGCTTTTACAAAGAACAAACAAAGTTCTTTTTTTAAAAAAAAATAAGTGGCCACAAGGTTTGCATCCTCTAGGCTTGGACCAGCATTATCGGTTAGGCTTTGGTTGAGGAGGAGGAATGGGTCTTGGAAGGACAGGATAAGGCGCAGGCACAGGATTGTTGATCATGTTTATTTTGAAAATAAAATAAAATAAAGAAACATTCAAAAAAAGTTGAAGCATATTTATATCAAATATTGATGCCCTTTATTGTCATTCTGGAAAAGCTCTAACAACATTTCTAATTTTGTTCATGCTTGTCAGTTATACATATTTATCAATGGAACAAAATTCAGAAGTTATTTTGAATATATGATCTCTTCCCCTTAGCTTTCAATTAATGTGTAAGATTGCCTTGACAACAAATTAGATAACCTAGAGACAAGTCACGGGAATTGAATTCTGTCCATCCGTCTACTCCGTTCACTTGTCTTTTTTTTATTCAAATATGTCAGCACCTGTACGTTACGAGTATCTCATTTCGAAGTAAGCATTTATAAACAAGGGAGTATGTAACTGTTAGATATTTATTATTACTTGAAGGTACGGTGATATTGCATTCTCTGTTACTGTTGGCACATTAGCATACTTTCTAAATGAGCGATCTGATCCACGCACACAAAATGGAAAGACATTAAAGGATCTCGTCTTGCGAGCAAGACAAAGACAAATACAAGAAAGAGAAGCAGCTAGACGATCATAGTGTAAATAAAATGCTCTATTTTTTTCAATTATATTGATACAACTAGACCATCCGTGTATGTTTTGTGTGTATATGTATCCGTGTTTAGAGAAAAAAAAAAAAGCTTCACTATGCATCGGTGAGTCGGATATCTAATAATTATGTCATGGTGTACGTTCTATGTGCGTTATAGAACAAGAAACTCGGCTTCTTCCGTTCTTCTTTCTGTCTTTCTTTCCTTAAAAATGTCTCAATCCTTACAGCATTCCAAAGCGCCGCTTTTGAAAAGAGACCCTTCCAGTGCAACCCATTACAGTACCTTTTCAGACAAGACAAAGAGACAGAATAAGCCGACGTTGCCTATGCGTACGACCAAAGTTTCGCAAAAACTAAAGCTATTCCCGGAAGATAATGAGCAACAATGGACTCATATTAAAGAGGGAGACGTGTATACGCAGCTAACAAAAGAAGAGGCGAATATGGTAAAGGTCATGGATAAAGGCCAGTTGTTAAGAATGACAGCCTACTGCACTGCCTCGTAAGAAAGTTTTTATTTTACTGTAAGTGTTGTCTAACCTCAAAAAAAGAGCCTATCAAATGAATAGATTGTTTGAATACCTTCAATCCAAAAGAAAAACAAACGGAGCTACGCCTAAACGATTTGATGAATGGTTTGTGTATACGTTTTTTCTTTTTTTTATGTTGTACTAAAACAAAAGTAGCCTCTATACACAGTTTACCCTCGCTTATCCTCCAAAGCCACCACAAAAAACAGAGAGAGTAGAACAAGATACGACAACATTAATACCAGAAATGTTTTTATTTGATTATGGTGTCATTGTCTTTTGGGGAATGGAGCTAAAAGAAGAACAAAGGATACTTAAATTATTGGAATCTTTTGAAGAAGAGAAATTAGGTAAGAAAAAAAAAGGCAAAACGGATAGGAAGAGGGTATTAAAGTATATATGTTTAGGCCCTGATGATGTCGAAACCGAAGAACTTTATTTTTATTATGACAACAATTCTCAACCACGTATTTATAATGATATCATCACCTTGCGTCAACCATCCAACTACCTTGTAAAATTAACCATATCTCATGCAATTGCTCAAAGCGTCAAAATGACTTTATTTGAAAGACTGGTTGATGATACAATAAATGAAACAAAATATATACCTCAAATAATGGCCGAAAGTGGTAATATAGACATGTCACGGTAAATATAGCAATGAACAACATAAATATATCAACTGACAACAATGTATAGAGCAGCCATTACAAAAAAGATTGGACAACTATTTATAATGAGAATCAATGTAAACTTAGTATCCAACATTTTGGATACCCCTGAAATATTCTGGTCAGAGCCTACTTTAGAGCCTCTCTACACTGCCATGCGAAGTTATTTAGAAATATCACAGAGAGTAGAACTTTTAAATCAACGTGTAGATGTGATTAGCGATCTATTGGGAATGCTAAAGGACCATCTCAATAGCTCACATGGAGAGCAGCTAGAATGGATTGTGATTTGGTTGATTGGCATTGAAATAGTTGTGGCTGTCATTACGACATGTTTGGATGCGTTCAGCTTATCACAAAAATAAATATGACTATATATATAATGAATCTGTTTACCTTTGATCAACATTTCACATGCAGGTAAATGTTTGTAATTAGACTAACGAAATAAACCCAAATGAAATACATGTTAATGTGAAAATGTATAAAAAAAGAAATTCTATTTCACTAAAATTAGACATGATTTGTACAGAAAAAGTAAAGAGATCAAAAATAGATTTTGGAAAGGGGACCCTGGATTGATTATAGACAAAAGAGAAGAGGGTTTGTTTGTTAAAATGGTCGTGTGTTCAAATTTTCAACAGGCTGCATAAAAGCTGGTTTTGAATATTGCTTGTAGTAAACGGCTATGCTTATTTCTTTTCCATGTCTCCTTAAACTTGCAACAGTATTAGGGAGGCTGTAGTTCGACTCCATAGCATTAGTTTGTGTAATGTTACTCAACAAAGTTGACTATGCGGCTTATGAATTAGATAGATCAAGCTATTTTCTTCTGGGGAACAATAGCTATAATCAAGCTTGCTTGTTGGTTCTTGATGAAAAATAAATAATAGCAATGGAATGTTATTAAAGTTTAATGAACACGCCCCTTTTAACCCTACCAGGTAAGAGCTCATTTGTGCTACAGTCAAATCAGTCCGCCAGCTATCGAAGGATGCCTCGGTTTGCTCTAGTTGTATGATGACAGAGATGACGAGTGTCGTAATGATTTGTACAATAAGCATATGTTATATTTTGTTGCTCAAAAAGGGACTAATATACAAAGTCAATAATTTATTTATAAAAGAATGCTATGTTACACTCTTTAATGAACGTAAAGGAATAATCTCCGTATTCTATGTAGCAAAGAAAACTTCTCTTCCTTTTTTCCTTTTTTGAACAATTAATTATGTTGAGCTATCATAAAATTAAAGTAAATTCAAAAGAGTAGGTCCGTTATTCAAGCTATGATGATCATAAACAACATACTACCTGCTGACGGCTGCATATGTTTCTATAATGTAGAATATAAACAAGGCAATGGTGTTTTGTTTTCTGTTTTAAAATTCAGCTATATAATAAAGACTTTTTTAAGCCAAGTAACTTGCCTTGTTTCTCTTGTTTTTCTTCCCCTTTCCCACATCATGAAACTAAATTGTGCATTGATATACCTCACTTGCTTAATATCCTTTATCTCGACTATTTATGCTATCCCCATACAACAAACATCGTTCCAACCAAACATACAACAACACATATCAATAAATGACCAAGCCTATCCTACCATTGATCAATTAGAGGAACATTATACTCAAATTGTAGGCAAGGTGATCGATAAGACTCTAAATGACCTGCTAGAAAATGTACCAGAGACATTTTTGACAATCCATGAATTACAATCGCTTGGCAAAGGTAACACATACTCTCGTCGTTCGACGTTTTGTTGTAACATGCTTCTAACACTGTGGAGTAGAGTACTGTCAAACATCACTATTTGAATTTATTCAAATTATTGAAAGCAAATTAATCAAGATGAAAGCTGATTTAGTTGCTGCTGTTCACCCTTTACTAGAAACAAAACAAAATATCAATGCTGCCTTAATAGAACGGATCAATACAGATGATTTAGCATATGATATTATTCGTCAGCTATATGCCACTGATTTAAGTGCCTTGGACAGAATTATCTACACTCTAAGTAGTAGATCATTCAGATTAAAGCAACATCACGAAACGAATGAAGCATTGGCTCTGAGGGCTTGGTTAAGCTCATGGCTGATGGATATCGAATTGGCTTTGAATCAAGCAATTGTAACTCCGTAGACCGCATCTCTTTCTCTTTCTTTCTTTCTTCTTGTAAATACATGTCACTGACCCAAGATGGATTTAGAACCAGTTTATTAAACTTTTACGATAATAATATTAATATTAATAACAATGAATGGAATTTGATGCATGTTATGAATTATGTTTACTTAAAGAAAATCTGCTTCCTGCAAGCAAAGAACAACCTTTATATACACATAGAATACCACATCTTATATTCAACGAGTTATCAAGTACCCGTTCTTTATTTTAAACCTTCCTATTATCATGGTACTATAAGAGAATATGCATGAATTATCATTAATGCGTTCATTCCTCCATCAGATGGTTCTCCTCTCTCTTTAGATGACATATACGAGCATATCGTACCCTTTGATTATCATCAACAATTAAAACAACACGCCTATGTTCCCTGTATCTCTCAAGCAGATCATCCGCTAATCAATACCCCCTTTTGGTACATTCATCCCTGCGAAACAACCAAATTGATGACAACTATCTCACCAGAGATCAAGGATTATGTCCAATCGTGGTTATCCTTGGTAGGTCCTGTTATTCGCTGTCATGTGTCTAAAGCGCTCTTTTCATGAGTTTTTGTTTCTTCTACTACTGCCGCAGCTGTGGCTTACTGTGACCATTTTGCTTATTTTGTCCTGCTTTGGGCATTTTTTGAAATTTTTACATATATTTTTTCTTTCTAGCTAAACATTTTCATTTTAAAGCAATAAATCATGTCAGAACAACCCCATATCTTTACTTGCATTTCCTGTCAAGTGGCATTTCAATCACCAGAGAGCCAGCGTGCTCATTATAGAACAGATTGGCATAGATATAATTTGAAGAGAAAAGTTGTCAATCTTCCTCCTGTCACATTTAGTCAATTCAACGAAAAGGCTGAAGGTATGTATTGGATAAAGAAAAGAAAAAGAAAAAATATAACACAATGAATTATAGCTCGTGAAGCTAAGGAAGCGGAAGAAAAGAAGGCTATTGAGACAAGGAACAATTACTGTACTAGTTGCCGAAAGAGCTTTGGTTCCACTAACCAATATGATAACCATATGCAATCCAAGAAACACAAAGATAATGTGGCCAAGCAGGCTTCGGCTCTGCCGAAAAAATCGAATGACCAGCCTAAACAGCCAAAGACAATTGATATGCGTGTGACGGAAGAGACGACAGAAGAAGAGATGATGGCCATTATTGATGAAAAGATCAAGTCTGCACCTCGTCTGGAAGAAACTGATTGTTTATTTTGTACACACAGAGCAGATACCTTTGAAGACAACATGTCGCATATGACTTCGGTTCACAGCTTATTTATTCCCGATATCGAATACTTGATTGACTTGAGAGGACTCATTCGCTATCTGGGTGAAAAGATCACGGTTGGTAATGTGTGTATATTTTGTAATGGCAAAGGAAGAGGCATGAGATCTGTAGAAGCAGTTCGCAAACATATGGTAAGTTCAACAAGAAATAATGTGATGTAACATATCGCTTATACGAGAGAAACAGATCGATAAGGGCCATTGCAAGATTGCTTATGAAGATGACGACGATGCAGCTGAATTGGTTGATTTCTATGACTTTTCATCATCTTATCCACAGCCTGAAGATGGTGAAGAGGTGGATGTCGATGCAGAATTAACTCAATTGGCACAAGGCCTTACCTTGGCTGATGATGAGATGTCGCTCGTTTTACCCAATGGCAGTGTTGTTGGCCATCGTCACTTGAAGCGTTACTATGATCAGAAATTGAAGCCAGAAGAGGTAAAAAGAGACCTTTATTTCCCTTTTAGAGCAAAAAAACACTAATTTGGATTGTTTTTAGACACGAGATTCTGTACTGATCAATAAGCTCATTGGACAGTACTCAGATTCACCTGCGTTCGAGTCTATGCGTCGTAATAACAGCAAGCAGCCATTACTTTTGACAGATTCTCGCAATCGACAAGGACTTCGTACATCTGAGGCATTCAAGGACCTTCGTCGTCAGCATGAATATACCACGCGTGTTGGTATCAACGCAAACAAATTACAAAAATACTTTAGAATCCAAATCCTGTAATTGCAAGCACATAATTTCATTATTTTGTATAACCATCGCACAAATAAAAAAAACCCTGGGTTTCATTTTACCGCATGACCCATCTTTTCCCGCAAGAGTTACTCGCGATCTGTTAATATTATCTGTAACCTTACACTAGATTGCAACCTGCGGTCTTAAGGATTTCATTTTTAATGCAACATTATATTATTGTATAACAGATCCCATAAACAGATAAAATGTATCAAATAAAGAAATTAACCTCTTTGATATGAGTTGTGTCATCTTAATCCAAAAGGTTTGCAAGCAAACCAATTCATATATAAAAGGGGGCATTCATTTCAATGAATTTTTTTTTTTTTCATTATCATCACAACTCTTTCCCTTCTTTTCAATAATGAAATTCACTCTGATCTCTTCTTGTATTGCAATTGCTGCACTGGCTGTCGCAGTTGACGCTGCCCCTGGCGAAAAGAAAATCAGCATTCCTTTAGCAAAGAATCCCAACTACAAGCCTAGTGCTAAGAACGCCATTCAAAAGGCCATTGCCAAGTACAACAAACACAAGATCAATACTTCTACTGGTGGTATTGTCCCTGATGCTGGTGTTGGTACTGTCCCAATGACTGATTATGGAAACGATATCGAGTACTATGGTCAGGTCACCATTGGTACTCCTGGTAAAAAGTTCAACCTTGACTTTGATACCGGTTCCTCCGATTTATGGATTGGTAAGATATAGAGGGGATGAAGGAACTGTGTACTCATATTATGATAGCTTCTACTTTATGTACCAACTGTGGTTCTCGTCAAACCAAGTACGATCCCAAGCAATCTAGCACTTACCAAGCTGACGGTCGTACCTGGTCCATCTCTTATGGTGATGGCTCCTCTGCTAGCGGTATCTTGGCCAAGGACAATGTCAACTTGGGCGGTCTCCTCATCAAGGGTCAAACTATCGAATTAGCCAAGCGTGAAGCCGCCAGCTTCGCCAATGGCCCCAATGACGGTCTTTTGGGTCTCGGTTTCGACACGATCACTACTGTTCGTGGTGTCAAGACCCCTATGGATAACTTGATCAGCCAAGGCCTCATCAGCCGTCCCATCTTTGGTGTCTATCTCGGCAAGGCCAGCAACGGCGGCGGCGGTGAATACATCTTTGGTGGCTATGATTCCACCAAGTTCAAGGGCCCCTTGACAACTGTTCCTATTGACAACTCTCGTGGCTGGTGGGGTATCACTGTCGACCGTGCTACGGTTGGCACTAGCACTGTTGCTAGCTCCTTCGATGGTATCCTCGACACCGGAACCACTCTCTTGATCCTCCCCAACAACGTTGCTGCCAGCGTTGCTCGCGCTTATGGCGCCTCTGACAATGGTGATGGTACTTACACCATCTCTTGTGACACTTCCAGATTCAAGCCTCTTGTCTTTAGCATCAATGGTGCCTCTTTCCAAGTCTCTCCTGATTCCCTCGTCTTTGAGGAATACCAAGGTCAATGTATCGCTGGTTTCGGTTATGGTAACTTTGACTTTGCTATCATTGGTGATACCTTCTTGAAGAACAACTATGTTGTCTTCAACCAAGGCGTTCCTGAAGTCCAAATCGCTCCTGTCGCTCAATAATTTATTTTTTTATTAATTTATTTATTTGATATAGTGCGAACGGTAAATATTGCCGCTTTGCCAAAAATAAATGTCGTCCACTCTTTCTCAAATTTATATGTTATGTTAAATAATACAAAAAAGTTCAACTATAAGGTATGTTATTATTATTATATAACGTGTCATACTTAATTCCCCTTGGTCACGAAGTAATCTTGTTTGGATATTGTAATCATTTATTCAATAACAGGGAAACAATGGAAGCAAACCATTTGCTACAGCTTCAGAATATAACCCCAAGATTCTTGATATTTACTTGAACTGCTATTTAATCAACTGTTATGGCCACCCTAAATATCTAATAGTTACCCAAATGTTCATTTATTAGCACGTCAGAAAATAACTCTTGAAACCGTCAAATGCATTTTAAAGGAAATGACTTGACCATAAAAAGAAGGATATTTATTTTTGAGGAAAGCACTATATCAAATAAATCTTTGGTATGCATAAATACTATGTGTATTTGTCTTTTTCTGTACAATAAAGTGAGAGAAAAAGGGAATATGTATATACAAGAAGGTATCAACGAAATTCAAAGTGCCCAAAGCCTCGATCAGGTACATGATCCAATATTAATTCTTGATACCAGTCTTTATGTTGGCGAAAGAAATAAAATCCCCTAATTTGATTAAGTGACCGCTGATAACAAATATAGTAAAAGCCAGCAAAGCTTGCGCCATGAATGGCGTTCACATGATGATCAGGAACAAGAAACTTCTCTTTCCATCTCATGTATACAAAATCACTGTCCTTTTCATCATATACAAATTTATCCTCGTTAAATTTATCAACAAATGGCTCAAAAGAAGGAAATCGTCTCTATTGTTTTTTTGTTTGTTTTTTTTTTTTTTTGTTTTTTTTTTTTTTTAGTTCGCATGAATCGAACATGGCTTTTTTTTTCTTTTTTCTTACCCAGTGTGCCGCATCACTCTTTTGATCTGCTTGCCATTTTCGAGTGTGAAACGAATACTTGGGTCCAATAATTTCGGCTTCAAAGAATGTCTATAATGTTGTTAAGCAACCATTTCTAGAGACGTGCACTATGGCAACAATCGTCTCTTCTCCTTACCGTCAATTCCGGATATTCGACAGTTAAGCCCTTGATACTTAGATAACCACTCAACGCACTCTCTCGTATATTAACATCCTGTTCATACTTGGGTCAGTCCTCACACATGACAGTAACTATGTTTTCATGAGAGGTACCTGAATTTCTACAACCACCTCATAACTGTTTGTTCCACACTTTTGGTATCCTTTAAACCGGCTTCCAGTGTAAAGTCCAGTAAGACGATTGGGTCTGTAGTATCGTTTATTGGATATATCCGAGGGTACTTGCTTTTGAACACTCGGCTTGGGTTCAATAAGTATAAGCTTGCTGTGTTTCTTTATTGACTCGCAAACTGTAATAGAGGGAATAGGCATCTTTTTGGGAAGAAAAAAATGTAAATAAACAAATAAAGAAAAGGAAAGAGAGATCAGGCGGTTTTTGTTGCTTATTTTTTCCCCGCGCGCACGCACTTCGCATGAAAACAGAGTCACTTTTTTTTACCACCAAAAAAAATAATAATCGTTTTCTTTTGTTGAATTTGCAATGGATGAGGATAACGTAAAAGGGATTTCAAGATGCAATTAGGAAGCTTATAAGTTTCATTTAGGAATACATGACCGCATTATTATATAATGTGAAAGAAATTGCTGATCGAGAAGGTACAAGCTTAGAGGACGCAAGGATATAAAAGATGCTAAACTCAAAGTTAGCGCGATCACTTGGAAAGGAAACTTCACCAGAATTTGTATTGTCATTGACCGAAGTTTTAGCCTCTCAAATAAGTAAAGTAAAAGAAATCAAGACAATGAAAATGCTAAAGATTATTTAGAGTTATTGGGTCAGGATTTAGAAGCATTTGCAAGGTGATAACTACTTTAATATAACAAATCCGCATTTATAACACTTTCCATAGACACGGTAGACGTTCAGTTATCTCAATGGAGGATGTCAAGGTAAGCAAGAAATAGGTGTAAATATTGCCTAACATACTGTGTACATGACAGCTATGTGCCCGTAGAAACGACACATTGGTAAGAAATTGAGAAAGGTTATGCTTTATTATTAACTCTTTATTATACACAAACAGTATGAGGTTATCTCCGAGACAGCAAAGGAAATAGCTGAAGATGCCAATAAACGAAAGCAAAGAAAGTTATAAAAGCTTACGTTCCTGTTCGTTCACTTGCATCATTTGCTGTCGAAGATCATCTGCGTGAATGCATCCGTGATCAATAGGGAATAAGCCAGTTACAGCTTCGGCTAGTGGAGTAGATTTGTGTTGTTGTTGTTGAGCTGGCTCCGGACTTGGACTTCTAGGAGCTTTCCTGTCTTCTTCGTGTCCTTCTATTAGCTTTTCACCCGTCTCCTTGTGATTTTTCTTTTCTTTTCGATCTTGCACAACGTCTTTAACAAACCCTGCCACATCTTTCACATAGCCCACAACACCTAATTTTTCAGGTGATAAGCTGTGCTGAGAAATTCTTCGCTCGCTCTTTGGAGGAGGAGGAGGAGAAATAGAAGGAGTGCGGATGATGTGTTTTTGTTGGTATGGCTTCTGTTCTGGAACAACAGCTGTTTGCACAGGAATATGTTGAGGAATGTCTTGGTGGTCCATAAGATATAAAATTAGAATAGAGAAAAAAAAAAAAGAAAAGGATTCTAAAGACCTTTTATACGTCATTTAGTTTTATGCAACTCTTCATTTTAAACTCATCATTTAGTGGACCCATTTACCCAGGCTTTATGGGATGATTCAGAGTAATTTTGGCACTCAGTTGGGACATCAAGTCGTTCCACCTTCAATTGGGTTTTTTGTGTGTGCCTAAACCAATCCTCCTTTCCCAGCCTACTAGTGTACTTAATGGCTTTCCGAGCCACCCTTTACTTTTATAACAATGAATGCAAATAAAAATTCCAACGTCCTCTTTTGATGTAATTAAAGTTGTCAAATAGATATTTACATCTTTGCTAGTAGCGATGTCCGATTATGCTCAATGTTTTCAAAGCTAGTTTTCCTCAAGTCGTTCTTTCTTGGCTATTTTTTTCTCTCTCTATATCCTTACTTATATCGTTTCTTTCCTTATTGTATACTGCCTAGAAGGGGGCTGTTTGCCTTTTAAAAAATGTCACCGAGACACAGATCTTGTGTATTGGAATTTTGATTTCTGTATGTGTTTTTTTAGCCTTGACAAGAACAAAAAAAGGGGGGAGAATGTGTTGCTCTTACGCTAGTCTATCATTCTACATACCGTGTCACAGTATATGCATTTAAAATATGGTTTTATTGTCTCTTTCTCTTTTCCCTTTCTTTTCATTAAAACATATATGCTTGGATCATCCAGCCTTGCTCACCTACACCCATCCACCAGGATCGCCCGATCTCCATTCATCAGAAAGAAATACAATGGATCACTAGTCAACATCCTCGAGACACAGCATAAACTAAACAAGATCAACCAAGATCAACTATTGCGCGTATGCGTTCGAAAAAGACCACGATCGAAAAAGGAGCTGAGTCAAGGCGAAAGGGATGGTGTGTCTGTCATGGATGATAACTGTACAATCCTTATAAATGAGTCAAAGTAAGAAACAGGAGAGAGAATGTACCGCGTTTTGGCTCACGTGTATTTAGAAAACGACCTGACTCATCTCATTTTACTGAACGTTACATGTTTACATTTGATGACGTGCTAAATACAGATCATGTAAATAGTTATGTAAGTGTACATTTGGTAGAAAGAGTGAAAAGTGATAACATTGTTTGAAAGGTTTATGAGAGGACAGCTCAACCACTTGTCAGTTACATTTTTGAAAAGAGTGGAAATGCAACTTGCTTCGCCTAGTAAGTTCTTTATATTACAGATATTGGATGAATCTAATCATTGTGTTGCAACAAGTGGACAACGTAATTCAGGCAAAACTCATACCTTGTTCAACAGTCATGACGGAATAAGCGTCTTGGCGGCACGTGAGGTTTTAAATATGCTCCAGAAGCCGGAATATATGCATCTGTCTGCATGGGTGGGGTTTTATGAAATATATCAAGATCAATTGTACGACCTATTAGATGATCGTAAGAAGTTGTATACAAGAGAGATAAAAGATCATCCTATGGCCATTGTCGGATTAAAAGAGTTTCGTATCAAAAATGTATCTGATATGATACAAATGATAAACTGTGGCAACCAATTGCGTATGAAAGGTAAAGTTTATCTATAAAAAGAAGCAAGTAAAATGACGCATATCTATAGATCCACTTTATTCCCATGCTGTTTTGCAAATCGCCCTGAGGCAAACTGACGACAAGAAGGTAACCATGGGGAAATTAAGAGTGATGGAAATAGCCGAAGGCGCATTAGATAAAGACGAAAGGACAAGGGCAGATGTAGAGCTGAGATCAAAGCCAGTAAAGACAAAAAAAGTGATTCGTTTACTAAATGAATCATTTATGAATAAATCGCGTGCATGTATGATTGCGACCGTATTGTCTACTCCATCCAATATTGAGAGCACGTTGGATACGTTAAGATGTGCGAATGAAATCAAAGGTCAAAAGGAGTCTAGGGCCATTAGTCCCGAGAAGATGACAGAGTTTCTTCGTCAGCATAAACAGCATATTTGTGATATGAACGAATGTTTAAACAAGGAGATCAAGTTTATTCATCAGCCACATGCAAAAAGAAGCGTAAATGAATTTATCGAGTATCTGGAGACATTGAGCGATTTATTGGAACTAAAGGCAAGATCGATTCAACAATTAAAGAAGAGGATAGACGAGATCAAGAAATAAACTGTGTATCGATGCCATATGTAAAATCATAGATGATTATTTTGCCCAAATTCGTCGAACAGATGATTTTACCAAAATCAAACTGTAAATTTAGTATTCTGCCATAGGTGGCTTGACTTAGACTTCTTAATAAAATCCCATTTTCTAATCCCCAAATCTTTAAGCTTCCATCATAGCTTCCACTGATGATTCTTTTACTTTTACTGTCTAGTTGTATTGTACGTACAAGATCTTTATGGCTCACTAGAGTATGAATACATTCTCCTGTTGCAGCATTCCATACTTTGATAGTTTGATCACTTGATCCACTGATGATGTATTTACCATCATATTCAACGCATGCGATGCCTCGACTATGTGAGTCTAATGTTTTAAGACATTCACCCGAAGTCTAATGAGATAAATGTCAATATGTCTTTCTTTTTTTTGGGCCTTGTTGCATACCATATCCCATATCTTTATTGTTCTGTCGCCTGATGCAGATACTACTTTGTTGTCTTTAAATTGCACAGCATTGACTGCAGCACGATGTCCTCTCAAGACGGAGTGAAGCTTAATATCTCCGCTATTCTCCAATCTCCAGATACGAACTGTTCTATCCTTTGAACAACTCACCAGTGTGTTTCCTTTAAACTTGACGTTGAGCACACTTTCTTCATGACCCTGAATCACCTTGATGCGTTCTCCAGTGTGAATGTCCCATATGATTAGCGCGGCATCACTACTTCCACTAATCAAGAAACGATGATCAAACTGCAGACAGAGAACACTGCCTAAATGGCCTTCTAGTTTACGGAGCAGTGCGCCTGTATTGATATCCCATATCTTGATATGTCTATCCCTGCTTCCTGTAACAAGAATGGAGTTATTGAATTGTAAACAATAGATCGAGCCACTGTGTTCCAGAGACGCATCTGAAGGAAACTGCCTCATCTTGCATTTTCCTTCATTCCATCTTTTTTCGATCAATGATCTATTGCGATACAGTCGTTTCCAATTGATATAACGTGTATCGGTTGATTCTTTATAATGATAAATAGGTGTTTCATCGTATTTTATATGACGTCTAAGAGGAGGTCTATTTATAAAGGGTCTTTCTTTTATGATATGAGATAATGCTTCTTGTCTATTGAATGATGATAATGGCTGTGATTTCGATGAACAAACTTGTTGAACGGCTGAATCAGTATTGAGAGCAAACTTTTCCAAAATAGGAGGTGGAGCTTTGAATGGTCTTAGTCGGGGCATCATGGGTAAAAGTGATCTGGGTGTGCTCATGCTTTTCTCGACAAGTGTTCGTTGTGATAATAAATATTCCTTTACTGCCCTTTGATTAAATGACCAACCTGAATGAAGGTACAACTCTTTCCATAACTGCTGATCTTCAATAATTGATTTCCACTGTTTTGAAACGCGTGACATGCGAACAAGGGATTTGGTGTCCAATCGATAGAGGATATCTAATTTTATCTCATAAGGTAGTGACTACACAATAAAAGGGTTAATGGAATCAAAGATAACACTTTCTAAACTTACAGAGATATAATCCTTATAGACAAGTGGTGATAATCGATTCATGACTTTTGTTGTAGATGATACGGGTATACATAATAGCAATTGATAGGCAAATTCTAATAAAGTATAGTTTATATATTTATAGTTTCTATTGTTTTCCTAAAAATTTTAACCTGCTTTTTCTTCATCTGACCAACTATTCATAAAACCAGGTAATTTAAATCCTTGTTCTACAAAGCCTTCATCCATATTATTATTGTTCATCATTTATAAATAAGAAAAGAGACAAAGAGAGAGAGGGAAGAAGTGAGAAAAAAAGAGAGAGAGAAAAGAAACAAAGAT